TGTTGCAGGAACGTTCCTCTCGGGATTTTGACAAATTGATTAACTCGCGGCTCAATTGTTACGTTAATTAAAGCTACTGTCGAGCATCTTTCGAACTGTCGAATCTCACGATGGTCAGTCGCGCGCCGATGAAACCTTTAAATTGCATATAAAAAATGAATCGTCTTCCAAACACGTGCAAACTCTATTGTAAGATATCTATGTGTGTGTGTATATATATATATGTGAGAGAAATTTCCCTAAGTTCAAATCTCTTGGATCTCTACGACCATGTGTCTATAAATAATTCACTCGAGATATTTACCCGTGCTCGGCATCGATTAGATGTAAACGATTGCTATTACACGCGCAAAAAGGATACTTGTGTACAAAATACAAATGATACTCGAAGGAACAATAAAACTTGTGATTCATCTGGATTCATTACGTGTAGCGTGATAAAAAGACCATCATAAATAGATGATACGCTTCCTGCTGTTCATTCATAATCATACCTCTTTCTCTCGCTCTCTCTTTCTCTCGGTTTTTTTTTGTCACAGTACTCGAGTATACCACCGTTAATTTGCACTAGTGTACAGTATACCCGAATACTCTTTTCTTTAACGAGTCTTTTGGTTGCAGTAATACCTGTGAGTGCCTTTTTCCGTTCTTTACATTTTATCCCGTTTACTTTTTGTGAGCACTGATACATCATTCCGTCTATAACGGCATTATTTCTCTGTACTCCTCTGTATAATGTTTTTACGTTTTTTCGCCATTAGCGCACTCGAGAATTAGCGAGACCTCTTTTTTTTTTCTAGGTGATGGAGCAACTAAAATGCGAAAATCAGAGGCTAAAAGACGAAAACGGTGCCTTGATCAGAGTAATCAGCAAATTGTCCAAATAAATCTGTTTGTAGTCTCAACTGCACGCCGCTGCAAAATCTTAAATTGTATCATCAACTGTGTCGAATGAATTGCTTTAACTGTCAACAGCATCAACAATTATTATTGCTAGTGTTCTCTTACGAATGCGCGCATTCATGCTATCGATGAATTTACCCTCATGCTAGTAATTTAACTTATTCCGATGATGAAATCAATTAATTATCGCATGGCTGTGCCAAAGGCGAGAAAAGAGACGTTACTCCTATTCCTAGACTGTGAATACTTGATCATAAAAGACTTAGAAATTTTACTTTGTGGAATTAATTTTTAATGTCTTAAAAAGAGATGATGAATTTTATAATTCACTGTGAAACCATAAGCCAATGCTCTTTATATAGTTAAAAAAAATAAGAAGAAGATGAAGAAGGAAAAAAGAAAACGAAAGAAAGAATTCAGGTTTACTTTATTCGACTATTAGGAAGCGACGAAGCAAAACTGTTAATCTCTACGGACAGTTTTCTTTTTTATCAAATCACGTTATCGATGTTGATTCTTTATAAGAACATTTTGTAAATACGTAATGATAGACGTAATGATAGACAACGGTGATGTGGCATTTTAGTAATTGAAAGAGAGAGAATTTTTATCCGCGAGAGCAAGTCTCTAAAGAGCACTGAGTGCGTACGTGGAAAAAAAAGAGATATCCGGAGTACATGGAATCGTAAAACGAGTCCGTTTGCATTATCGAAGCAATAAGCAATATATATATATAGATATATCTGTTACGCTTTGACTAAATTATGCAGATGGTAAAAGGAGGATGAGTCAAAGAACATGACCCTCGATTGCTACTCAAGTGGCCTTTCTCTGAAGACTGCAATTTATAATCCTTCCATCATTGCCATTTTTTGCAGTATAAGCGGTAATCTGACGCGTACGGGATTTAAATGTTTTTAATTATTCTGTAACGATACACTTATATGATAATATCACGGATGAGACATGTCAGATATATTTTGTAGACACCAGGATTTTTTAATCTCCCTGAAAGTGTTGAAATTGTTGTGTAACGTTTAGAACTGCGGCTATAACTTCAGTTCGAATACTGTCGACGGTAGAATCTGTGTTATTACTTTTAATTATCTCTGTCCATTATATGAAAATGCTGTTACCTATTATTTTCTTATATAGCAACGCCGATAATGACTGTCCAATATGCTCTGGATACAAAGACGGATTTATAAATACTGAATAATGTGGAATGTGTAATTAACAGTTGGCATGTTTTTTAATGATATTATTGTAAACACAATTGTAAAAAAAAAAAGATGACTCAATGTAGTTATTTCGTAATGAAGTTTATTAGAAAATAATGCTCTTGTGTAAATATTTAATGTACAAATTCACATGAACCTTAGCTTTACCGATTTGTCTTAGTGTAAGTCGCGTTCACGATGACGAAATTCTTACGTACTTGTATAAATGTAATGCGATCATTGCAATGGTATTTTAATTGTGTATTGTAACATACAGTTCTTAAATATCTATCTTTACAATAATCGTTAACGATACGTGCGATTGATTGTGACCCCATATATATCTAAGGTAAGTAATTAATAAAATTGCTCTTACACGCATTCGAATGTTTTGTTTATTGCAGAACGCTGTTATTTACAATATCTTTGATTACAAAACTAATTCCGTTTCAATTTGAGCTCAATAATCTCTCCATAATGGTGGCAACGGCAGCCATATCTGCACATTCGTTCGTATTCCTTGCTATTTGTCCCATAAACGCTCCAAACACCTTCTTGTTACCATTTTTGTACTTCCTTACAATTTTGGGATTTTTCTCGATAACTTCTAAACACATCTGCTCTAATATTTTCTTGTCCGATATTAGGAACCAATTGTGTTCTTCGACGATCTAATATACAATAAAACAGATGATCAAAATTAAACATAATTAAAATCCGAATTGAACACTGTATATATCTTTCAATGCAAGGAAAAAGAAACAGAAAACATTACCTCTCTCGGAAGTTTCTTTGGTTCGGTTATCAATTTATCCAAAACTTTCGCTACTATTAGTAAATTAATTAATTTGTTTTGTAACAAATCAATCAATTGGCCAATAAAATCGCTATGTAGGTCGCTGAAAATTCGCTAGGTAAGTATACTCTTTTTAAATCGAGATACGTTATATAAATAAAAAGAGGAGTCTTACCAGAATTCAATCGTTAACTTATTCTTGTAAATGAAGGTCAATACGTGAACGACGAGAAACTTGGCGACCAGCTGCGGCTCACGCTTCTCATCTTTCTCTATAATTCTATGAAATAATTGCAATAACTTCAAGTCGCTCTAAAATAATATATTATAATATTAAAATATTAGAAGCATCCCCGTTCCCCTTCCTGATTGATCGTATCCATTCATTTTAGTATCTAATTAGTATCTAATTTTACCATTAGAGCTATAGTTATTGCAGGCGATATCTTAAGTACGTTTTTTAATCGCAGACGTATCTGTGCCGGCAACTCAGGTAACTGTTGTCTCAATAATACAGCGTCGACTAGATTGTCTTTGTTCGGCAGATCTTCTCTGACATGTATACGTAAAGGCGGCAGGTTCGTCTCGGGCATGAATCGGTAATCCTGCAAATGAAACTCGCTTGTGACGGATTTAACGATAAAACAATAAAAAGCTACATCGAATCGAGATACTCTGTTACTTCTTTCTCCTCCTTTTCACGCATAGGAATGGTTCTCTTGTTAGCAGCGTCCCACGCGCACGTCTCGTTGAATACCTCACCGCACGCTTCGAGAATAGAAATGTGCCTGTTTATTTCGTATTTGATAGCTGCAGCTACAGCACGCACGCTGCTAATATTCTTTATTTCCGTGCGAACGCCCAAATTCCCGTCTCGATCGCTTACAGAGACGTTAGCATCGACGCGAAGCGCTCCTTCTGCAATGTAAACATTACAGACTACGAAAGCGACGATAATTGGGAAAAAATTATCTCTCACAAACAACCTTCCATCTTGCTGCTGCAAACGCCCAATATCTGCAGAACAAAAGCAAGCTCCTTCACGAGCGCGGCCGCTTCCTCGCCGTCAACCAGATCTGGTTCAAACACGAATTCCAATAGAGGTACTCCGGCGCGATTCAGGTCGATCAAACTCCTGCAGGAATGTCAGATGAAATAATCAAAACAACGTGAATTTTACCAGTTGAGATATATAGCCAAGAGGAGCCCGTGATGCAATGAATCCAAGGTACCTTTTCATATCTTCGTTGTGCAAACTTTTACCACTGTCTTGCTCCAACTGAATTTGCTTGATTTTAGAGGACTTCGAATACGGTTGCTTTTGTATTCTAGGATCGGATACATAGAAGTTGATCTCACCACCGACTGCTATTGGTTGTCTTTGCTGGGTAATTTGGAATCCTGCCTGAACAATTTACAATTGAATGAAGATATAAATGTAAAGCGATGCGAAGGGACTATCTTAATGATATTCTTATTATTCACAGGCAAATCCGCGTAAAAGTAGTGTTTTCTCTCGAACAAGGATATCTCGTTCAGCCGGCAGGACAGTGCCAAGGCTGTCAGCACTGCTGACTCCACGCATTTTCTGTTCAACACCTATGATGCAAACATGACTTTAATGGTGACATTTGTTACGATAGTTTGACAGATGAATTCTTTACCAACTTACAGGTAAAGTTCCTGGTGTGGCACAGTCGAAAAACGAGACACAGGAATTGATCGGGCTGACAAAGTCACTGGATGCGTTGGAAAACAATTTCGATTTGGTGGCAATCTGAGCGTGAATCTCCAAGCCCACAGTCGGTTTCCATTGCTCTCTAATGACCGGAAAAGAGATTGGTTTAATTAAGATAACCTGATATTAACGTGTCACAAATGTTCAACACAAACCGACGCGAACAGATATATATAAGGGAACATTGGTGAATGTGTTTACGTTTACGAATGCATAAACGTTCATCATAACCTCATTGCTCACCGCACTTTTGCATCTTTCTCAGCTTTAGACGTGAGAAATCGCCGTGAGAAACGACTAACTTGTTTTTTAATCGATCCGTGCGCGAGAATAAAATGTATCTGTCTTTTTGATAACATCTTTAAATCTTCCCTTTAATATTTAAAGGGAAATAGCAGAGGATATGCAATCCACACAGCTAATCGTATACGCGGGTCGGAAGTGATTTCATTTGGTGTTAGTGTAGATAAAATTCAACGGGCTGCAACTTCGGCGAAAATCATGATAATCAAATGATTTAATTAATAATAAACCAGTCTTAGGATCTCGTGCAAACGTAATTGATCTTATTCAAAAGTACGGTAGAATACTCAATAAAGTAAAAGATTGCTGTTCACTGTACTACTTGATTAAGATATGTCCGACTTATCATTGAGTCGTACCACAACTTCGATATTTACTATAGGTCTGTTCGTTTTCGCTGCACCGCTGAACTAGTACAATAAGTTGAAGTGAGAAAATATATACTTGTCTCGCTTCAACTTATTGCACTAGTTCAGCAGTAAAGCGAAAACGAACAGACCTTATAACTAAGGTCCATTTTACGCTACAAATGTTTCGAAGCGTCGTATAGACCAATCATATTCTTTCTTTAAGCGCTCAAAAGTGTTCGCAATGTGCAGCGGACAGCCTATAAATAGTGGTTGCTCGTAGCGGAGGAACTTGAAACTGCTCTTTGGAATAATAAATCTAGATTTTTTATTGGAAATATATAAAAAGGCTAATATAGACGCTAAGCCTACTGGCAATCTTTTAACATTTAGCTTTATTCTTCATGTGAAAAATAATTCTTCTATTTACCCTTGTGGACTTCAATACGGTAATTAAAAAGAATAATTTACTCTTTCTTTTTTAATTAACATTTACCGAGTCCATTATTCCAACGTAGTTATTAATTCTCTATTGAAAATTTATTCTTATGAAAAGTATAATTAAAAAAAGAATATCGCTCGAATATTTCTAAGCCAAGCAATTTTTAGAAGAGTTTTAAATGAAAAATATATTCGAAGAAATTTGATTTTTGTTTAAATAAAACAATTTAAGCCTAAAGGAAATTACCTCTTAAAACGATATGAAAATATAAATGCTTTGTTCTGCAACCATGTATTTAGTTAAATCTAGAATTGACTCTGTGCAATTTTAATATTTCGAGGCAACGACAAGGTAGGACATTAACGAACACAATAATTTTTTTAAACAACTTATCTTTGTGAATGTAAAAAATTTGCTTTCGGACGTACAAAATTTTTTGTGCAATGTAAGTATACGAAGTTGTAACTGGAATAGAAACAATCGTTTCTGTAATTGCCGCGTTAATGCTTCATGACCCTGTGTAACATTTTCGTCTCATGGTATAACGGTAATGCAAAAGACCAAATTATCCGACTCATCGACATCGTACAATTTTCTATCGATAATTGTTATACCGTTGTTGCCATTGTTTCGTTTTTAAAGAAACTATATAATGATATCAGAGCCGTACAACTGAAAAGGATCATGTCGCATGTCGAGACAAACGGATCGTACGGAAATTGCCAATAAATCCCTGCGTTCATTCTGCAGCATCGTCTTTAGTTACACTAAATGGCTCTGCCACAGTCTCTGCGCCGCTATCAGCAATGACAATGTTCTTCTGTGGTCTATCTCGCGAATCTGTGCTTGTTTGCTCGATTTTGCGGATTATATCCTATGATAGACAGATAAGTACACAAATAAGTGAAAAAATACACTTGTACTATCACAGTACATCAATTGTGCCATCATGTGTCGCATGTCTTTACACACCATTCCTTTGATAACCTTGCCGAAGACAACATGTCTACCATCCAGCCACGGGGTTTGCTTAACCGTAATGAAGAATTGAGATCCATTGGTATCCTTGCCAGCATTAGCCATTGACAACCAACCAGCACCATAGTGTTTCAACTTGAAATTCTCGTCCGCGAAACGATCCCCATAAATGCTACGACCTGACGAGAAAAATAATTAAATAAATAAAACTAGTAGAAGCAGTAAATTTATTAACACCTCTTATGTATTTGAGACATTCAATAAGAGGCAGCAATGCAATAAAAATAAAAAAAATATAAAAATATAATATAGGTAGAACAATATAATTATAAATATAAATATATAGATATATTGCAAGTGTAACAGTGTGTAAATGGAGCGGAAATTTGTGCGTGCAGAACCTCCAGTTCCATCTCCCTTCGTGAAGTCTCCCCCTTGGATCATAAAGTCCTTGATCACTCTGTGGAACATACTGCCTTTGTATCCTTCACCTTGGGGCTTCTTGGCAAGTTCTACGAAGTTCTTCACCGTTTTCGGGACGGTTTTACCAAAAAGACCGATTTCAATCCGGCCGGCGTCGACGTCGCCGATTTTGACGTCAAACCATACCTACAAATTCAATTCAATCTGAGAACAAATCTCAGTATTCGCCGACATCATCCGGCGAGCGCGCGTTTCGGAACAAAGCCGTCATTTTTCATTCCGCGATTGCGGTGCAGACGCACGGGATTTTTCCATCGGCGTGAGAGACAGAAATATCTCGCGGCGATCTCGTGAACGATAGGGCAACGGTGGAGATAAGATGTGCCACGTATTCACGGAGCATCATCCTCCTCGGTTCACAGCCGTTCAGGGGGATGCTTTTGTTTCGAAAACCGCACTTCGCTGATATCGAAGGCTAGGCGTGTGTACCTTGTCCGTGACTTTCGGCCCGTTCGCGACATTGCCCGAGCAAGAGGCAGCGGCCACCAGGCCCAGAAACAGTAGGAGCTTCATCGTACCGAATGCGATTCGAACCGTGCGAACAAAGATCGCTCGACTGCTGGTCCCGCCGCAGTCTGTCACAGTAGACCGCTACCAGATGCAAACCGAAGGCGCATGCGTACACTTAGAAATGTGGGAGTGTCTAATTGGCCTATCCTTCAATAGTGACGTAATAAAAAGGGTGCGAAAGGAAATACATGACAACTAGGAATGAGAAATATCCTCTGATAGTTTTCATCTTTTTCATTATTTACCGTTTCTTCGCGTCATTTTTATCTCTTTGTCCTTTAGAAAATATCGTAGGATATTTCAATGAGTTTCAATCGAACGAGATTTGTCTCTCGAATGAATATCTAATTTCCACGCCAAGCGGTTATTCAACGTTCAAATCTCGAGCATTTTCTTTCGAGCTCGCGACATTTTCTTTCGTTTAGGTCACGTGTGTATATGGGAGATAATTTTGGAGGTATCTTGGGAAAGAATTTTAAGCTTTTTAACAGTCTCCCCAGATAGCATCGAGAGTTCAAAAAGAATTCTTTCTGCGGCTGAAAGTGAACTCAGAATTAGTGACGTACAAATGAATTCTTTTTGAGTTCTCTGTGCTATCTAGCTTTTCAAAAGTTGGAATACCCGGGCAACGACAATTCACGTTACGTCACTGGCAAATATGGAGCGACATGAAGTATTGCGAAATCCGACTAGTGCAAAAGTTCACAGGTGTCACAAGGTACATGTACCCGCAAATGGGTTACGATATATACATTTAAATGCCATCTCATCGAGGAAAGATACTTTCCTTTTATTATAGTACATTCCTCGAGATATAATCAAAGGTTCAAACTACTACGATCCGTCGGTTCTTTTCTTAAGCGTCGTTCTTGGTAAGCTTATCTGTAGCGGATACTTTCCGTTATTTTATCAGTCAAGATTAACGTCTCTGTTTTGTAATTTTTAACGACAGCGTCGTCGTTACGGTGTCATTACGCAAGTATAACATTTGAATTGCTGTGCAACGACGATACAAAGATAACGATGTTATCGCTAAAAGTTATATAATACAGATTTAAATATCAGTTGTAACAGTTTGTTAAATTTCAATTTGTACATGAATAGATTAATAATCGCAGAGGTATCTCGATATTGGTTCATTAGTAAATTTCACTTTTTTAAACAGACATATATATAATTTTATTTCTTTCTTTTGCATTTTGCGACATTTACGATTAACTTCAGCTGTATTGCTTTCACGTTAAATCAGACATTCGTTCAGAAAAACGAACGGGATGCAGAATACAGTGATATAACTTATCGTAACAGTATATCTTATCGTTTGCTTTTTTATTTAGTTTAAGAGGGTTCCATATGCGATATATTTTCCAGAAGACTCGAAACGTAACTAATAATCGAATCATGTGCTTCCAAGTATTTTGATATTTCGAACCCATTAAGATATTAATTAATATGTTAGTGAATATTAATGAAAAGTCTGATATTTTTTCTTTTGTCACGTGACTACGCTCGATGCTGTTTAGCGTCCTATGAATTTGCGCCTTAAATTAACTCGATTACTCGCATTAATCGACGAACGAGACACTGGATGCGTTCATAAAACACGACAGTTATGCAATCGTCGAGTGATTAATGCCTTTGATTGAAATATTCTTTTGGATACATGGTAGACCCAAAAGAATATTCCAACGACAGAATGTGCTCGCATTAACCATTGCGTCTCTTAAACGCAGCCTTACATAACGAGAAATTTCAGGAAACACTCGAACAGTTCGACTATCGATCCGGCGAATCGTGCCTCTTTCAAGCAACTACTCGCATGTGAGACCACCTCGATGCCGTGTATGCTTGATTATTAAACACAAGAAGAAATTAAGCGACATCCCCGACGTTTTCAATGACTGTCGGTAACAAAACCGAACTTGACGACTCCAAGGTACGTATGAAGAGGACACGTTCGCGATTCATTTCGTTGCCGATCCCATCGTCAGCGTCAGAATCTGAAAGAAACGCATCTCAATTAAGCCAGTCACTTTGGCGTTTTTGTTACCAAGTGAACACGCATTTTTTCGCTTTTGTACGCTTATTTATTATTACTATGAACACGATGTGATGATACACACCGTTGCACCGAATGATTAAATTCCAATATCATTTATGATTCACACCTCGAAATATTCAGAACCTTTGAAATTTCTGGAAGGTCGAATAAAAATTGCGTATAGGTAGCTCTTGTGTTCAAGTTTGATACATAAATTTGATTCGCATGATGATATTATCATATGAAATATATTGCATATTGCACATGATAATATGATCAGTTTATAATAAATTTACTTAACTAGAAAAGTAAGAAATTAAAACTTCTTCATTCCAGTAATATGTCTACTTGTCAAAGATATCAAGATAAAATTTCAGGTATAAAACAGTATGTTGAAAAATCCGAAATAAATCTGTTCAAGATGGGCAAGGACTCGGTACACAATGAAAAAACACAGGCAGACTTTATTAAGGAGGAATTAAATTTTAATATCGATCCCAAAGACCCTGTAACAAAAGCTTCTCTGAACGATCAGCCAGTAGACGAGTGGATGGATATACTTGGCAATGGCCAATTGAAAAAGAAAGTCTTACTAGCAGGTGACAAAGGAATACGACCAAATAGAAGTGACACATGTACTTTAAAAATTGTTGGCAGGCTCAAAGATAATGATACTATAGTGGAGAATTATGACGATCTTGTTATACAGTTAGGAGATGTGGAGGTTATACAGGTATTGAGCAAAGTCTTTTATTATTCCTATAATATACTCTTACTATTCTGCTTGTAATTATATACTTTGAATTACAGGGGTTGGACTTAGCAGTCGCATTGATGGACGTTCACGAAGTTGCTGAGATTGAAATTGATCCCAGATTTGCTTACAGCAAGTTGGGAAAAAAACCTGACATACCACCTGATGCTGTCATGAGCTACACAGTCGAATTGAAAGACTTTGAGTTAGAGACTGATATAGAAACACTGAGCATTAAGCAACGAAAAGAAATAGGGTAATCATTTTATATATAAACCATACGTATAATTAAGGATTAATGTTTATTTTTTGCCTTATTGAATCCCAGATATTAAGAATGAAAGTTTGCGCGCGTTTATTTGTTCAACTTATCTTTGTCACGTGTAATGTTTGAACATTTGTTTATGAAGCAACAAAAAACGAGAACGTGGGAATTGGTGGTTCATGCGAGATGAGCCAACTATTGCAATACAATGTTATCGGAGAGCGTTAGACTTTCTATTGCCAGCGAAGAACGGTATAAGTCGAAACGAAATAGAAGAGACAGTTGGCGACGCCGAACTGCAAGATTTGTTGGAGGATCGCATGAAAGTGTATAATAATTTAGCAGCCTCGCAGATGAAGATAGAAGCCTACGATGTGGCCTTGGAAAGTATAGAAAGTGTCCTGAGCTGCCAGCCAAAAAATGTGAAAGCCTTGTTTAGGAAAGGTAGTGAAAAACTTAATCTAATATTCTTCCAATTTGAAATAAGTCAGCATTTTGTATTCTTCTTTCACAGACTTGTCTCAAAAGTTCGAATATACAAGAGCATAATTTCTGTATATATTTCTGTTCGTAGGGAAAATATTACATTTCAGAGGGGAACATACAAAAGCCTATGAGGTCTTGCTTTACGCTTCGAAATTAATGCCGGACTCGAAAGTCATACTGGCAGAATTGGCAGCTGTAAAAGAAAAGAATGCTAAAGACGCTCGACACGAAAAGTACCTGTATCGTAAAATGTTCGGTACAAAGAAAAACACCAATACATCAAACATGAAGAGGCAAGAGAAACTGAAAGCTAACAAAGTTATATGGGGTTTAATCGGGGCATCTGCCGCTGCTCTAGTGGGTTTGCTCGCATACAGGTTTGCTACATGAAAACGGTGAAAAAAAAGGATAAAACTAAACATTAGTTAATGGAACGGGAAATAACAGTTTTTATAAAAACAGAACAGTACATAGTCCTTAACTAAAGCGTCACATATTTTTTGACTTTTAAATCTTTCTAAACGCAATAAAATGATTATAAATCGATTTAATAAACACGAATATATGTTTTGAACTTTGGTATTATATATTATTTTCTTTAAAAATATTGTTATATTGTTATAGTGCAACTCTCTGATTCGAGGAGAACACGTTATTATATTTATACTTGTATTTACATTACTGTTATATAATAATTGTGTGAAACTCAGGGAGGGGGAGGAGCTATATAACTATAATATATAACCAACACAAACATACCCTTATACATGTAATGGAGAAATCTCGATTTTTTATAATATATAGAACAATCAAAAATTATAATACAAAATTATAATACAAAAAGTGCGATTTTCTCTATACTTTGTCTGATGCTCGGTTCGAAAGGTCTGGGTGATAGTTTTATAATTAGTCGCATTAATGTTGTNAAATAATGATTCTGCATATTATATATATATGATAATTATATACAAGTAATTATTATATATTAATATGATTATACGGCATATGGTTCACAGAAGTTTTATTTTATGGAGAATATAAATCTACATATCATAAGCTGATATGTTTTAACGTGTTATTTATCATCAGTGGACAACGTTACTGCACTCGGTTGTGTATACATATATATACATCACATATAACATCTGTATTTGTACAAAGAAACTGTTGATAAATAAATTTTACAGTTGGCGATGTTATACAATGTGTGTTTGAAATCTCGTAAAATTGCTTGGTGATATATTAACTATATTACAGAATTAAGTAAAAACTATATATTACACATTATATTATCACATGTGTTTTACGTATAACTCTATCGATCATTAAAAATATCGAAGATAATATATCTATGAATTTTTGTATTTCTACATATATACGCATGCGATGTGCCGTTATTTTATTTTTAAGAATACGATTCAAATGTTCACTTATTTTACGAGGTAGTGAAATCTGTTTCGTACGAAAAAATATATATATATATATATATATATGCACGATATTAAAAATACATATATTCGTTCATCTTTAAAAATAAAAATCAGGTGCTAGTTACGTGTTTCGCGAAGTAAAATAAATACAGAAAAATATATATATACACATTATGTATAATTTCGCAACATTCTTTGTCATTAACAAAATAACAATGTCTAGATTTTGCATTCGAATAAAACAACAGACGCGAAACTTGAGCAAACACAACTGTATATGTACGCAACTATTTCATTCTGCAAATTTTTAAAGATTATAAAACGGCGAAAATTCGCGTATCAAATATCTCTCTATCTCTTCTATCTTACAATTGTTATTCATAAGCGGGACCGAGTCCTCGATATTTTCTAACGAAACCTCCGAATAACTCGCACTGTCGTAGCACGTTTGATCCGCGTTCAAAAGACTATTTTGAAATTCTATATCCTGATAATCCGGCAAATTCAAGATCTCGTTGCAATTCGTCTCGAACTGATCAGCGAGCTCGTTGCTCGGTAACAATTCCGGATTAGTGACTTGCACAGTCAGCATTTGTCCCGTGGTGATATCCACTAACGAAAGAACTTGCGGAATAGAGTCGATTACAGACAGATTTGTAAGTTCTAACGACAAGTTCGGGCATTCAGAGTTCTCCTCAGAGTTCGTCGATGACGGCTGACTCTGCAGTTGCAAGTCGACACTCGCAATCTGTTCATTTGGATTCATGATCGAGTGATCTTCCTCCTTTTTCTTTTCAACTGATTTGCGCTCTTTCTTGGTTTTTATCTTATTAGACTTGGACCGTTTTGGATTCTCCGGCACTGGCACAAGATTACCATCTTCTGTCTTCATGAGCTTCATCACCTATTTGGGAGGGAGGGGGGGTCACAGATAAATTATAAATAATGAAAATTAGAAATTGGTCATATTGCTCACGCTTGATAAAAGAAGATCAACAAATCGGAAGTACACACGTGGATGTTGCGAGCATTACCTTTTTTTTCTTTTCCAGCGTGATTCTGTGACAGGCCTCCATGTGACGAGTGAGATGGTGCGAACGTTTAAACGCCGTGCTGCACTGCATGCAGACGAACGGCCGGTGCTGCGCATGCGACAGTTTGTGTCTCTTAAGTAAACTGTTCCTCTTGAACGCCTTGCCGCACTCCTCACAAATGAACTGCCGCTCTTTGCTGTGGATGTAAAGCACATGGTCCTTGAGAATGCTGACGCTGGTGAACGTTTTGCCGCAGTGCTCGCACACGACGTTCCGCTCCTCCACGTGCAGATGCTTGTGCCTATCCAGATCCGTTCGTCTGGCACACTGAAACGTACATCCGTATATGTCGCAGGCGAATCGCTTCTCGCCCTTGTGTATACGCCTGATGTGCTGATCCAGGGCCCGTTGCGTGAACAGTTTCTTCGCGCAGATCGTACACGAAAATATAGCCTTTATAGGCGTGTCCCTGTTGACTTTACTGAGGTGCAACGTCGACTCCAGATGCCGAAAGTAGTCATCCTTCTTCACAAACCTGTGCCTGCAGCTGGCACAATAATGTAGATCTGTAAAGCAGCATCAGTGTATAATGAGCGGCACGACGATGAGGATGATTCGGTTGATGAAATTTTGATACTCACCGTTGCTTGTCGCTTCAGACTCGCTCAACTTTGGGGTGTGAACCGCTTTGAAGTGTTCATGAGCTTTCTTCTTCGACGCGAAACTAACGTCACAGTTGGGACACTTGTGATTATTGTGATTCTGTATATGAGATAAATACGTCTGCTCGATACTGAACGTTTGCGAGCACTGTTCGCATTTGAACTGCTTCTTCTTACAGTGGTTCTCCTCGTGTTCCTTTTCGTCTGTGTCTGGTTTAATCATGTCCCCGCATTCCGAACATACTTTGCCGCTTTGGTAATTGTGCTTCGCTCTGTGACGATTCAGAAGGACGCGTTTCGGAAAGCTCCTCGGACATACGTCGCACAAGTACAGATGTTTGACAATCCTTTCTCCGTGTGCGCGGAACAAGTGTACCTCCAGATGCTTCCGCCTGGCAAATTTTCCGTTGCAATGAGGGCAGTTGTTCTTTTTATGACCTTCCAAGTGGCGATCCAGGTGTCTTTTGTATCTGAATGTCATTAAACACTGTTCGCACTTCTGTACTTGTCCATCTACATCTGACTGTTCCAGATTGTCGACTTTCACTCCATGCTTCAGCTCAGATGAAACAGGCTTTGTGCAATTGCTATCTTTGTCTGTACTAGAATTGATATTATCATTATTATCTTTTTTCGTAAAAGGTTTGACAGAACAGTTATAAAACTCCACTGTTTGCTTTGTTTCTGAGCCGTTGAATTGAGCTGTTAAATCTTTATCAAATGTATGAGATTCATCGTTATTAATAGCTGTTGATACATCATTTGATGGTTTGATGGAATTGCTATTGGAGAAATTGGAGAAAGTGTTGTAACCCAGGCTGACTGTGTCAAAATTCCCGATAGAATCTGGAATATCGATATCGGCTGACTTTTCCTGCTTTACCTCTTTGTTCTTTGCACAAATTTCAGACTCCTCAACATTTTGTAAGAGCAGGTTTTCGATTTTTATGAAATTAAAATCAATGTTGCTCAAGTTAACATCGTCTAAGCTGTTTCCTTGCAAGCCGATATCCAAGGTACTGGTGGAAGTAGCCGATACATTGACTCCAGAATCTTTACTTTCCAAATTATTGATGCATTCACGCAGGTAATCATAATTTTCCATTTCACCATTCTCTGTGTACATGTTTGGTATAGCATCCAGAGTTGGATAGTCCTAAAACAGCAACAAAATATAAGAATGTGATGATATATAAGAATCAAATCTATCTTCTCTCTCATACAATTATTATGCTGCGAGCATGATGGCATAAAAAATTCATCAAATGAGATGTATCTGACACAAAAAGCATGACAATTCCTTTCATGAATATAATTTCGGGGCATGTTCTTTCTTACCTGACAGTCAAACAAACGTAGCGTCATCATTTCTGATCGTGCGGTTTTGACAATTGATAATGCTCGAGATATTTGTGCAAAGATATGATTGTCATATTACAAGTGGGAGAAAATGTTGCATCCAGTCTGTGAATTTTTCGAAAGGCTTAAGTCAAACGTTGATGAAATTGCGCGAATGCCTTGAGGCATTTGTAAAGTAATCGCACGACGCATAACCTAAAGAACGTGTCGTGCAGAAAACGCGAAATGTCCATGTTTCGTATACATATCAGAAATATAGGCAATTGAACTATTTTACCCGCGACGAAAGAGCGTTAATAAAGTTAATGGTAGGTGGCGTTGCAATGTCTTTATACAATAGCCAATAACATTCGATAATTCGTAAGTTATCGAATCATACATTTTTCATTCCAACACGAAAATAAGTCAAACAATATTTTATTCGTAATACATCAATCGTGATGAGAATAATTGCTAATTCGCTCGATTGTAGAAATGAAGAATTCCAATTTCAGCACGTTACGCAATTCAAATAGGGCGCTAGAGAAATCGATATGGATCTTCGATCGATACGAAGCGACGATTGTTGAGATATTCATCCGCGAAATTCATCCGCGGATAAGTTCGCGTCGCGGCTCCGTTAGAGCACGCTCATCGTTTCGATCGTTACGATGGTGCTTTTATTCGCTCTAATTTTGCAGGGACGAGCGAAATATTGCTTCACAAGAAGGTATATCGAAAATTCTCCCATTATTTCTATAAGAGACAGGTGGATCTATGAGAACCAAGTCTAATTCACATTATGAAATTTTGCAGGGGATCAACGGTTTACTTGGCACGAAACGACCAACATGGCGGGGGTAAGTGCTAACGAATATTGGAAAAAATTGGGAATATTTTTCGAATCCATACATGCTGACCTGATCGAGGTTCCAAAGTCCACTTGAAATGACTTACTGGCGACAGAATTTAAAACAGAATCGTGTTTATGAGGAAACATGAAAAAATCAGAATAGCATTTGTAAGTATATATGTTGCATATACATTATACACCTATATGTTTGAGACTCTTCAAATATTTTCCATATTACACTGCACGTAAAATTATAAGCAGAATTTTGATCAAATTCTGTCGCGAAAGCACAATACTTGATAATTTAAATGTAATACTAAATAATAATAAATTATAAATAAAATACTTTATACACACAATTTAAATGCAAATGCTTGATCACGAGCGATATATATTCGAGGAGAAAACACTTGACAGCCAGAAGGAATGACAGAAATATATTCGGTTTATTTCGTATGCACCATCATGTATTTCACATTTAGCTATTAGAACTTTTTTTTTTAATATTGTAATTTTGAACGATACACATTTACATATATGTCATACACATAAAGTTTACGCTGGGATTAATTAATTCTTTCGATAGAGGTACTTTCGACTCAACGGCCGAGCGGCCGAATTCTCTTAAGACGTGCAATAGCTCGTACATATGTAGGTATCTATTCGCCACCACACTTTGTGTTCTGCTTTGTGAACATGCGTCCGAACTTCCTTACAAGGCAAAGAGTCTTACAGGCTATGATATGTATTTTGTTTTGTGTGCAGTTCACAACATTTCAATTTTACTTCAATCATTTCCTTAGCCCGACTAAGAGAAAGGAGATAATCAGCAGAGAAACAGAGATCTTTGAGAAAAAATATATATGTATAGGAAGTTATGCGATATATACGAACTTTGATCGGAATGGAGACGTGACGCATGGCCACTGTAGAAATCAGCAATCGATCTCATAATATACAGACTTTTCGCAAACATTTAGAGTATCGTTTTACATGTGAGAAAGGATATATGATACTAACATATTGCATCATAAACAATTACAACGTCAATGCACATTTGGAGAAACTCCATTTCATACTTATTGACTGAGTAAATAATAGGATTTATATATTGAAATTGGCGAAGTGCTTGTAATATTTATAATTGACATTATGCCATGTATAGCTCTCATAGTGTCTCAAACAATCAGCGAAAGACCAGTTCATGGTCGAACATTCTTAAGCTCCACATATCTTCATTTTAAACATCTATACCCTTTGGGAAATATTCATAAAACTGACTTTGGGTAAACGAGGCATCGCGCATACGTCGACAATCGATTGGAAAATACGATCAAAATTGTTTTATCGATCTGTAAATAATTTCGCACATAAGACAACACATAAGTCAGCACGCGTACGCGTGCAAAATCATCAATGAGAAAATCATTGTTAAGCCGCGAGTTCACGTTAGAACATCACATATGTACGGTATAGCTGGGCGGGTATATGTATATGTTACTTTATAGGTATATATATACATTTATATATATACACCTCGAGAAAATATATGAATACTGTGTAAATATATAGAGAGCTTAGGTATACACATACGGATCGAAGATAAAAATATAATTTCAATAGGATATATATGTGTATAATATATATATATATATATCTCTCGTAGTTAACATTCATATTTAGAACTCTCTTAAATGCATTAGGCATTTCGCATGATATGTTTTGAGTTTCACTTACACAGGTAGGTTAACGTTTTTCTTTTCCTTGATTTCTGGGAAGTATCGAGAGTTAGAAGATTACAATATCGTAATAATGCCTTCAGGGGACTCTCTCGGCGATTATAGCACCAGTGGCGTGAAAAGCGACGGTTCGCTGAGAGCTTCTCTCACTTTTCCACTTTCTTTTTTCTCTTTCTTGTTAACGAGACAGTTGACAGGTACTCTCTACGCATACTAAGATTAGAGCATCACCGTTGCTTCCTGTTGCTGTATCGTATGCGATGTGATTTTCTCAAAACGCTCAACTTGGCGCTTCCTACACACGATCGCGCTTTCATAAACGTTGTCACAATCTCGAACGCGGGTTCGTCGATCTCGACGAATTAATGCGTCTCCCACACTTTGGAAAGAACGTTGCGCGATCTCGAACGAGCGTCGCTTTAACTTTGCGCGATCTCGAACGAGCGTCGCTTTAACGTTGCGCTTCCTCCGACGAGTAACGATTAATATTAACGAATTTCCACAGAGTAATATTTCACGTAACGGGGTAGCCACAGACACAATTATATATTTAGTATTACGATTTCATTAACGTTAGTACAGTTAACGGAGCGATTTCCACGATATTATTACTCGATAGAGCGATTTCCGCGATTAAATACTTAACAGAGCGATTTCCGCGATACTTGAATAACTTTTCCCACTTTCTTATTACTCATTCGGGTTTTTCTCCCGTTTCTTCGTCTCCTTTTTCTTTGTTTGCTTCATTAAACGAACAATACGCACACCTAGATTTTATTTTTTTTCCACTAAGAATTAAAGTGCCTCATGTTTTATTCATTGTCATTGTATATACGCATATATATATTTATATAACACTATATATCTCTGAGAATATAAGCTAGCGAAGCGAAACTTCCTCCTTCTTTGATGTTTACGATGTGACAATCCTCCTACATTAAGATGCAATTTCTTTCTGCAACTCCACGATACGACTTAATATTATTACGAGTACAACGTTACTGATAGTGCGAAGTTTTTTTCTTGGGGAGGGAGGGGAGAAATACAGGTAAATGTGTAATATTATCCGACATAGTCGGGTAAACGCGGTTCTAAGTATACGACTCCTAAAGGTAGACTCACGAAAACATCGACCGGATTACGAGCTAATCATCGATTGCGCCTGTTTTCAGCTCTTCTCCATAGAAAATATTTCTTTCGCCATTAAGACTGTCCGCGCGACGTTTCGCGTTTCTTCCCGCGATTGTACGCCGGACTACCGTTCGGGAAAACATTCAGGAAAAAGAACGAATACGATCTGTGCGTTTGAATGTGCATGAGACGCGCGGCGGCAGACTCGTCGGTTTCTCTCAGGGTCCCGGTATCTTTTTCATGGACTGATTATACGTTACATTCAGTGAATAATAAGCTGTAGAATAAAAGATACTTTCATGGTTGAAAAGGCTATTTTCCTTTATAGAGAGATTATCTTTTTACATCACATGAGACTCGTCCATTTCTTCATAGAAGACCCAAAAGCAGCAACCGAAAAGTGCACCTCTCGTCACGGCCCGTGAGATTGCTGGCATCCTGACTTTTGTTAGGATCTTTCGACCCTTAACTAAAGATGTGAGTTAGAACTCGTAATTCATTTCGATAATATCGTTGTGTCAGCGTTTTTGTTGAGAATACACCGTCATTCGGGAAATCCTGAGTGAGATCAATTTTCTCGATCCCAATTTGTACGGCGTAACAAAAACATTATTATCGAAACAGAATTGAACAATGCTGACACTGCGACGATAACAACTACTCCGTATCTTCATTTGTGCACGCCTCCCCGCCCTGTTCTTCTTCTCGTACTTATCTTTATTACTGTAACCACGACTTATCACGAACGATTAAGTGATATTACTGATCACTCACTATGTCTCGAAAAGGAAACATCAGCTGGTGGCGGGCCGGCAACAGACGAACAGTCTGATGAATCTTTTTCCTTTCCGTCTTCTTCTTCTTTCTCACACAAACGATCCATATATCGTGTACTTTACCCCTAAAAATCATTAAGAAACACCTTCGTCGAACGGTGCTTTTATTCGTCGCGCGCTCTTCCTTATCACGATTACGCTAGCGTGTCCCTTATTCCTTAGAGACCTACGAGACGGGCTACTATGATATGTGTGCTATATTTTTCAGTCGCGCTATTCGAGGAAGTAACCTCGAAGGCGCATCGCGCCATGCGCAAGTCTCTATTCCCCGAGGTAACACTTAATCTCACTTCTTGTTGCATGGCTCTTTTAATGCTCTCTGTCGTCATATATATGTGTATCTATATTCTTCCCGATGTATCGTTGACGTGGAGGAGAGAGTGTGTGTATATGTGTATGTATGTGTGTGTGTGTGTGTGTGTGTGTGTGTGTCAGACTAGGAAGGAAATCGAGATAATGTCGAGTCGACAGACTTATCCTAGATATTCTTCACAACGACTAAAGGAGGATTTGATTTTCTCGTAGCTTATCAGAGTATACTTCCCCTTCATCATGCCGTCAGATACGAGAACGGAGCGTTTAGGCGAACGGCATCCGCTTGAACAGCCGGTTGCCCTGTCCGGTGATCCGTTTCTCGCCGGAGGTGTACTGGATCACGGATTTAATCTGGTCCGTCGCCACCGGGCCGATGCAAACCAGGGGATCTTTGAAGTACGAACAGATCTGCGAAGCAGAGCATTCGAATTAATGAGGCAATTTTTTAATAAGAGATTACTCGATAAAAATATCGATCGCATTGGGAAAGTTTCCGAGGAAGATTATAATTGAACAGTCGGTTTGCATCAGTTAACGCAATTATCGGGTGAGGCTTTTAAAAAAATTGGAGTCACAAAAGTGCACTGCACTTTTTGGAAAGATTAAAAATTTAAATAGCCCAGAGAGTAACTTTACTTTTAAAACTGTGCTACTACAAACATTAGCGATTTTTTCATAAATTTTCAGATATTATCGCGTTTCATAAATCATATGATAGATTCAGATTGTCACCTTTCTAGGTGTCTGCCGATGTCGTCTTTGCACCTGACAGCACAGACCGCGACTGATGTCACACTCGCTCGACATAGTGCACTCCTCATCTATAATAGATACATCGTTCATGTTGCCGTTTGCGAAACTATTTCGTGGTTTCCCAAAGATAAGACTCTCTCAACTCACTGTATAGCTTGTTCGAAGTCGTCGGTGGTTGACACGATCTCGCGTCGCGTCCTGGAATTTGCTGGCACATTAAGCCAGTTTCGCAATCGTTGTCCCTCCTACACAATTCGCCTTGTTTCATTCCAGTATCCTCGAGGCATGTTCCAACAACTGGAACATCCAAGTCGTGATTACTCTCTCTCTCTCTCTCTCTCTTTCTCTCGTGGAAGATTTAAAAGAACGATGGAAAAAATAAAGTTTCTTCGTTACTTTTAATCAGTTCTTATAGCGTGTTTAGATTAAATGCCAAAATTGTTAAGGATTTTTTGTTAGGCGTGTCATCATTGCTTCATTTACCTCCATCAAGATTCACACAAATAGAGCCAGGGCAACAGTGGTCGTTGTACACACATCTTCTTTCGTAACAAGGTTCTTCCGTGACATCCGCGCCTTCTCCGTACATGCCGCTGTATCCTTCTGAGAGCGACTGCTTCGTGTGAAATGTATTACTTAAGATTACGAACGTTCTTAATACATCGAATTAATGTACAAAATCGCGAAGAGGCGAATCTTTTGAACTTGAGAGTACGGAGAAAAATAATTTTGCTGTTGTAGCGAAACCACAATCGTTGTTACCGCGTACTCGTTACGAGAGCAATAAAATTTAATTGACACAACCAAATTAGAAAATTATCATAATTAGAGCAAAAACAGTTTTGTTGTCAGGATAGAAGATATTCTACTGAGTGAATTAGTTCTTAGGGCACGTTAATTTACTGTCAGAACAACATAGTGTTTTCCTACATTTACTAACTTATTTTTACAGTAAAATAATTCAGCGAACGAATTGAATTTGAATAAACAATTTCTGTTCTGCATTTTAAGATAATGTTGATTAACTGTTGGGGAGAAAACTGATCCCACAAATTCGCAGAGGATTTCGCTTTTAAATTTGAGACTTTGAAGACACTCCACGTAATGGAATATCCAACACGTAAGATAAAACAGCGCCCGTGCGTCATAATCTCCGAGGAACGGCGATCTTTCTTCCTTCGCCGGTTCTTACTCTCCTCGGTCATCGATCACCAATTGTCGGGGTTACTCGTATTTCCAATCTCGCAGAAATCGATGTTTACTGCGTCTCGGTGCATCTTTCGCGAAGGAGTCGACGAATGCGTAATTCGAACGACGGCGTGCTCGTTCTGTTTCGTAGATTTCTTACGTAATTCTACTTCAGCGACGGTACTTTGCATGGTCATTTCCGTTCGAACGAGCGAACGTACAAAATAAGATAACATCGTATCGACTTGAACGCGCGAGATCGCGCGAGCGTGTATATAGTTACATGTCGGCTATTAATAAAAAAATTTGTGCAGCTCGCTGGAATTACACACGCGACGATAGAGATTATCTCGCGTAAGTGAGCAAAGTTGCAAATTGAAAGGCGCGCGGATATTATCGAGCTCAAACAAACGAGAGATTATAACTCCGTACCTACGGCTGAGACGCAGTAAAAGTTTCTGCAGTAACAGTAACTTTTAGTTCGCCACACCGCGCCGTGGGGGCGATTTTACTCAATCTCCGGATCGCAATCTCGAGGTTAATTCACGGACAACGTCGAATGGGAAAGCGAAATAAACGCAGCCACCGGAGAGTTCCACACGGTGGTTATGCAAGTGCGAGTGCACGCCGTTCGAAAATGAAGTATCGATCGTGCGTGACCCGTATACACTGTGGCTGAATGCCGCCAATTAAATCAAATTATAAAAAATATAAAAGCTATAAGATTTGTATTCTCGGCTGTTGTCCCCGAGTAGCTTCTAAAATACGTTCATAGAAACGTTCGAAAAATCTGAAAGTGAATAATACGAAGGGAACTTCTAGAACGATGTATGAGGTACTTTGAAACTTTTATTATCGGCGCTCGAGATTTTAGGGCTAGAAATGATGTTCGAAGCTTAGAATTTCTGAATCTTCGAAACATTATATTTGAATAATGAAATTTTGGAGTATGAAAATTCGAATATTCGAAATTTCAAGAACTGAAAATTATGTATGTTCGATTACTGAATTCTTCCATATGGAAAGTTTCTATTGTAAGGTTTCACAAAGTTTATTCGTTTTTTTGTAGGTATAGTAAATAATATTTATTATCTTAAAGAATATAAGTGTTTTTTTACATTGCGTTATGCTATCATATATTATGGCGAAACTTGCATTTATTTTGGAATAAAGTTCATGAAATATGTTGTTTATTATTTGTGTTTTCTTCATTCACTTTATTTGAAACTGAGACAAATACGAATTTCAAAACTGAGCCAAAGATACTTAAACTGATACTAATTGCACAGCATTTCGTTGCGCTCTCCAAAATTAATTCTATTAACAGTTTCGATATTCCGAATCTTCGAACAGAGTTGGGAGCTTCGAATAATTCGACTTCGAATTTTCGAATGTTCAAATTTAGTCGTCAAATGTCGAATTATACCGAAGTTTCAAAGCTTCGAACATGTCGATTAATACTACCCTTATATTCGAGATACGTCTAAAGGACGGTCGATAGATTGGAGCGTCTTTCGCGCATCCTTGCGACGTTTTTTTAGACGAGCTGCGGAAATCTAAAAGGCGCTGCTGCTGATGAAAATGCCATCGGGCGTTGGTAAAGGGTATAACACTTTTCCACATACCTGTAATAGCCCAGGACGGTTCATGTAGCTACCGTGACCGCCATAACCGAGATTGGACAGCATCTCGGGGCTGAAGCGGTTGAAGAGGCCACCCCACGCCTCGACGCCGATGTACGCCGTGTTCGCCACAAGCACCAGCGTAATCACCGCACACGCCTTCATGCCGCTAGAGGTGTACTGATCTTCGGCGCTCTGTAATCATTCGTGAAAGAAAGGCCGTTCGAGTGGAATCACGTTGAATCTTTGTATAGGAGTTTCCAGGACGAACCCTCCTGGTTATAAGGGACGTTATTAAAGAGCAGCCGATCGAACTCGTTACATATTGTTATGCAAGTGTCTCGCTGATGTGCGCAATCGTCTTGAAAAAATCGTAAGAACGTTCGTATTTCAGTACGATTATAGATTATATTTTCTGAACGAGCGCGGAGATTTTTCTCACGACATTCGAGAAAGACGAAAGAGATATTAATCGTACACGGAAAAAAAGAATTAACTCCCACAGTTAAAAATTAGCTGTCCGTGTAATACAACTGAAATTCAGTTGTCAAACCTAGTTTTTACTTGTAGGAGCTAATTTTTATGATTATAGTCATACACAGCTATGATTGTAGTCGTACATAGCTATGGCTATAGTTGGACACGGAAAAAAAGGATTAGCTCCCACAGCTGAAAACTAGGTCTGGCAACTAAATTTCAGCTGTATTATATGGCCAGCTAATTATTAAGCTGCGGAAGCTGATTCCTTTTTTTCCGTGCAATTTTTAAATCGAGATTTTACAACGAGATTTTCGAGCGGATATTTCGCCCCGTAGTTTCCTCGCAAGATTGGAAACGTCTGAAAACATCATGGGCAATCGTTCACCGAAATTGAATCTACCTAGAATACGCTACGTGAAACTGAATACGCATCCGCTTCGTAGCTTGCAAAAAGACCGCTCCACGGCGGAGAACAAAAATATGAAATGGTCGAATTGCAAAACGAGAGACGAGGAGGAATTCGTTACCGTTTAAATTACGACAAATTCTGCGCCTCCTCTCTCTCTCTTTCTCTCTCTTTCTGCCTCGCGTACTTCTCGCAGGCACATATTTATCTTCGTGTTGTTTACCTGACTAGTTTTGTTGCAAGCAGTGATCCGTAAGACGACGCAGCTAGCCGTTAGCATTGAACCCGTTTTACACGACGGCTTATCGTACAGATGTTAGTGACGCAATGCTTTTACCACTTTTCTCGGGGCGATCTTCTCCTGATTATCGATACGATTTCATAATATGCGGCGACGATAACAGAATTCCTTGTGCAATTCGTCGACGTCATCGTCACGCTCGGGAATTTATCTTTCATTCGCCGCGCGCGATTTACTGTTAATAAGATACCGCTGCCGAGAGAGATGCTACGCGAAAACGGGCTATCTGCGCCCTGCAGTATTAATTATGCAATTAATGTCTAAGCACACCCCAGAGTAATCTACCGTACACGCTCAACCTGAATTACCTGGTTATTTAGAAGAATTGCGATTACAGATCGCACGCGGATCTACGGTAAAAAATTGTTTCATGCATTATATGGCGGTGCGGAAGGTCGAGTGTCTTGATGTGATGAATCGAGCCGCCTGCGGAAGATCGTAAAACGTAACGCGCGACTTCTTCATTCCGGTCAAGGACTAATTGCAATTTACGATGCGAGTAGTTCGATATATGATACGAGTTACGTTAGGCCACTACTACCGATAACCTCGGACGTATGATCGATAGTTCTTGTTTCATTAATCTTGTCTATTTTTCATCTCCGATGAAATTGCTACGCTGCGCCTGATACGCGCCGCTTGAATGAATTGCAGATAAAACGATAGTCAGTGAGCTTCCTGCGAATTACTCGCGGCATGAAGAAAAATCCGCCGTACATAAATGAGCCTCGATTCTCCCCCGGTTTTAGATTTCCGTGACCCAAATTTGTCTTTTCTCGCGCCGATCGAATCTTCTGAATATCTCAACGTCGTCGTACTTGTTTTTTTGCCTTTTTACTCGCAATCGATTGACCGATTGCACCGTGTTTCGTCGCGTTCTTGCCTTTTTCGCCATTCTAATCCTGCGAAACTCGATGACGCTCCAGCGTCAAGGACAACATGCGGCAGGCGCGCAGTGTACAGAATAACACACTATGACGAAACGCTCGCGATGCAACGTCCGCAGTGTTACGGCATATCAGACATCTAAAGAACCTGCTCTACGGGCGAATTTAAGCGGTAGTTCACTTACAAAACGATCAGCTCGCCTGGAACGCCGTTACACCTCTCGACCAGGAAGAGACCAGGGTACCTCTCGGCGGATTTCACAGGATCAACAAGTCCTCGGTGGGGTTCGCTGGAGGACTGAGTCCGTGCCGCACTCGCTCCGGCAATCTATACTTCTACGTCGTTCCGGTTGCCGTCACAAGGGCGCATATACATGGTGGCGCATGCGCCACCGTCCGTCCGTCTTCTCTTCTTCTTCTCCTCTCCACCCTTTTTTTCCTTTTTCCCGCCACTCGATCACGACCTACGTGACATTTTGTTCATTCAGATCTTCAGCCTCCTATCGAGCGGCCCGAGATAGCAGGCCGAGGGGAGCTACTCGAACGAGTCCATTCGAGCCACTCTCTTTCGCGCTGATGAATGACGAATAATATGCTGCGAGTGACATAATTGAACGATGCAGCGATGTAATACGCGATGCACGAGTAACGTTAAATGCAAAATGAGAAATGAGAGAGAGAGAGAGAGAGCAAAGAAAATTGCGCAGGTACTCAAAGGAAAAATCCAAGCGTTTCATCGCGTAACTCTTTTCCGCCGTTCTTATCTAAAGCGGAAGAATCTAATGCTCAACGTCGCGCTGCACAGACAAGGTTTTTCTCTGTTTCTTCTTCTCAGAACACTATACGGCAACGCCGGGCTCATCTCGCTCGCAAATTGCAACGTCCGGATCCTCCGGGATACCGGTAAACACGTTTAGGAAACACGCGCGGCTCTGTAGTAACGTCGGCGGCACAACCAACAGCCCGTTTCGCGAAAGGTCAGAGATTACGCGATAATCTTGTTCCACGCGACTCAGAGGGTTGTTCTTTGCCGTGGGATTTTCCGGGCCTCCCGGCGCCGGTCGTTATATTCACCCGGGATGCGTTCCCCAAAAATCGCGAGTAATCGTTGCCCGGGGTAACCGGCAGGACACTCCGCCGCTTGTTCGTCGGCGCTCACCTACCTATACCTACCTATCTACCTACCTACCTACATTTTAGCTCGTTCCTCGTCGCGCTCCTTACACCACCGCTATCTCGTTCCCTCTTGGCCGTATTGATCCAAGGTATCCTGATGTGCCCGCCGGGCGGGCTCGTTCCTGCCTGCCTGCTCCATATACCCGCCCGCGAACCCTCGACGTTGGACTCGCGTACTACGTATACGAGGTGGTTTGCGAAGCAAAAACGATCATGACACCCCCGTCCTCGCTCGATCCTTGCTTTCGGCAAGAAGCCTCACGAGTCGCCGTTTACCGACATTTGAATTTTTCATGAAGCTCGCTCTCTGTTGCGACTGTACAGAGTCGACTCTCAGAATCTCTTTCGGAGAATGCATGTACGACGGTTTATGAAATCGGGACTTGTTGAGCGCGGCGTAGACTCGAAGAGGCGATTTTTATGCTGAAACTCAAGCCTTGGCCCGAGCAACGGCGTTCGAATGGTTTCTCTTTGGAAGATGCAGAAAAACTTATTCGAGTACTTGACGGAGAATTGAATTATCCATGCGCTGCACAGAAAAAAAGCTAAATTCAAGTAAATAACTGCCCCAATACTCTTTAGCAAATTTTTATCTGCATTAAGCCTCCGTTAGTCGCAATATCCAATAGATACACGTTCAGGCTACAACCTATTGCCGTTGTAATACGGCCTCAAGGTCGAGCTCTTCGTTGTCAATGTTTTTTCTTTGTTTCTTTTGTTTTTCACTGTTTTTGATGTACTTTAGTGCCTGGTCTATTAGTCAAGTGTTAATAAAAAAAATTATTTCGAGAAGGAAAGAAAAATAACGGGAAAAATAGTGTACCTGCGAGATACTTCACGACTATTCTATGGGTAAAAAATATTGCGACTGACGGAGAATTAAATAAATTTCCTTTGGATTAAATAAATATATATTTTACTTGGATAATTTACTTGGAAAATATTTTACTTGGATCAAGAAATATTTATAATACCCAATCCAAATAAAAATTTGTTATGGTGTATCGGAGTGATTATTTATTTAGCACTTTTTTCTGTTTTCAACTCTCGCTCGTGTACTCCTCGTCAAGGTATAAATAATAAATTGCTAAAAACTAGTTCGACCCGTTCAAAATTATAAACGTTAGATCGGTGACCTTTGGTAAATAATACCAGATATTGTTTTACCGTGATCAGAATGTTATCGTCGCCCTGTAACTACGCGTTGACGCGAAAATGTCAACCGCCTGAGGGTAAATATTATTTGTTTAGAGGTTACGGACTCTACGGTAACGATATTGAATAGTTCGTGGCAGTTAGTTATTGGTTGTCCCTCGACCTAAGAGGACCCGAGCGAGATGTCTCGCGAATGAGAAGGATTCGGAAGAATATTACACGTATCGGCTTTAAAAGCTTACTCGCAAGGTTTTAATATTTATTTCACATATTTTGAATTGTATAAATAACTATTTTCTCGTTGGCAATATTTATTTTTTAAACAAATCGCTTCCGAGCTATCATTACGAGGAATGTGAGCGTTTATCGAATTACGTTTATTTTCACGTAAACTCTCTCGGGTTTTTCATTCACCCGTTAGTTACCGAATAAAATTCAACACCGCGGCAAGAGCAGCTGCTTTCTCATCGTTTCTCCTCGCAATTTCTGAGCATTAAGCTTTAATATCTTCGTAATTAACAGTTAATCCCGCGAGGATCTAATTACGATGTCGCTCTTCTCTTTTCAGAAAGGACACTGGGCAAGGCAGATTCTCTCTCACGGTGGTGGAGAAATACAACGAACGAGTGAGCGAGCGAATGCGCGCAAATCCTTGCCGGCGACACCTCGTTCGAAGCGTTCATCTGCGAAGCAACCACCTGTGCGACGAGACGCCGGTGTCAGGTAAGAACACAAGACGTATATATTCATCTCCTCGTATGCATCGGGTCGCACTTAACATTAAATCGCCTCTTTTCCTTCTTCCCCGCTCGTGAGCGTCTTGTAACTCCAGCTTGAAGAACGTTACCTCGGCCTTGCGTGTCGTGGGGCTAACAGATCTCAGACTTCCGCAAAGCTTCGTCCACCGTGGCGAAAACAACGTATTACATCGTGCAGTGTAATAACTCGCGCACGAACGGAAATTTACGCAGTTAGAAATGTCGGCTCCCCCCCCCCCCCCACTTTTTCTCTCTCTCTCTGACATCCGGGCGAAATTTATTTTTTCCCAGGGGGTTAGCCGCGCGACATGCGATTCTCAATGGTGCTCGTTCGATTTAAGCCGCCTTCGGTCGGCCACACGTTCTTCCTCCCTCGACCCTCGCTGAGGGGAAATGCGATATTGGTCATTCATTTGTGAGCATTTGCGGCGAGTTAGACGCTCGCTCGAGGGTAATTTGCGTGATACGGTGCGTTCTGCGTGAATTTCCGTTTGAATTCAGTTTTCACGTGCATCGAATAATATATTTTCCGGCTACGAGAAAAAATATTTAAATTGAACGCGCGTTGATATTAATCCGGGTGGAAAAAAACTGAGCGGGAAAATTTTCTCTGCGCAGTTATTATTTTAATTTATACGTGCGTAGAACCAATTAATGAGCGCTTTTTTATGTTCTATATAAAAACGTTCACATTTTATTGCCTCTCTTCGAGAGGTCATAAATTCATGGTTTCGACGTTACACCGTGGCGCTGCATTCTGTGCAATTCGTGATCAGCAGACGCATTTTACTTTCTACAATTAACACGCGTCATTACGTAAGCTCTTATCTCGAGTTCGCGGGGAAAATTGACAACGTCCATAATGCGATATTGATTGAATCGTTAACTGCGAGGGATTTCTTCCATCTCAGATAGATTAGTTATAAGTTGTTGCTTCACGCGTGACTATACTTAGCAGAGTTCAACAGAAACGTTAATTGACATCGCGACATTTCGCTCTCGCTGAGAGAGAACTACGCTCTTTATCTTTATCCCTCTATTCATGAGATGAATACAGAATTAAAACAATGCACGCGGCACGATGAGACAGCAGGGAAGTGCACTGAATTTAACACGAGAGAAAATATCCGGGAATAAAAATAATAATGCCAAGTTATGAAATTAAAAGATATTATCGCATGAACTCCGTCGTCCGCGATATAATCTTGGAGGTGGACTTTTTACTTCTTGCAGCCGTTTCTGCAGATGATAACTATCAGATTACACGAACGAACTTTCGGAACAAAAAGTTCTACCAACGCATTGTTTTCCTGTCGAGGGAATACGCGAAATCACTGGCGGTATCATCGCAGTGATATTTAAATCGCGACTTCCAGTACTGGCTGTAAATGAAACGTATTACAGAATTAGCGCGTAGGCAGATGTCCGATGTTTTATGTGTTACCGTTCCGAAGATCTTTATTGGTGTCACGACCTTTCCAGTCCAGGCACGTGCCAGGCGAACAATAGGAAGAGTTATGGGAACTACCGGAAGCGACGTTATCATCGTCTTGATGACGTCATTCATACGTAATGACTGGGGGAGGGTATTAAAAGTGCGATCGATTTGGAGAATTGGTCGCTATTTTTAATGAGGGTGTCATCTCGAGGAATGTCGGCGCAGTGTGCATCGCGCCGTGACGTCAGGATGCCGGTGTCTTTTATTTCCGTACGGCGCGGGGCGCCGGTGAAATGTGACATAAAATAGCCACGCGTTGTGTGTCGTATAAAAAATGTATTTAATAAATAACGTCTAACAACAAGAGACGGGGGATAGAGAGAAAGAGAAAATAAATAGAGGTTTGGGAGGCTCGTCTTTATGTACTTATGTATATACGCGGAGCTGGCGCGAAACGTTCGCGCAGGGCGAGAATATTGCCGGTGCCCCGTCGACGAGACAGAGGTGTGAAATACGAGGAAGGGAAGTGGGATGACTTGAAATTTATTCGTGCCAAATATACGCACCTAAGTCTAAGTTCACGCACGTATTCCAGACAGCAAGACTTTTATCTCGGTGCGAATTCGAATGAATCTTCATTAACTTGAAGTCCGAGGCTTCACCGCGATAAATTTGTCTAAAAGTCGATTCCCAGTTTCGTCTCGCGATTTCAACATTTTTGTCGAGGAAATATCGTCTCTAAATTGTTGGAAGTTGAAATTGCAAAGAGGTTCGTTGAACACCGACGCCAGTAACGAACCTCCGTTAAACACCCCCACCAATAAAAATCGTATTCGGATCTATCGCGTAATTAAATGCTAATTAATTGTTAATTAGTTGCAATAGTTCCAGATTCGATGCTTCTACGCACTGAAAATTAACTCTAAATTTGAAATGCTGATTCGCTCCGTTGTACTAGCTCAACATTAAAATTAATTTTCAGCGCTTGTGCAAATTTGAAATTATAGCAACTAATTACGCGATAATTCCGAATTCGAATTTTGTTGGTGGGGATACTGGAGGTACTGGAGGTTGGTGGGGGTACTGGAGGTTGACGGAATAACAAGATACCGTATATGTTACATTTGCATCCTCTTCTGCGGTCGTGGGAAGAACGTCGAGCAAACACATGGCGCCGTCGTTCAAACCTAGGTTCCGACTTCGAGACTCAGGACTTCAGCTGCGTACACACCCTGAATCCGCTTCAGAGCCGGCTTCGCGAAAGAAAGAAAGAAAGAAAGAGAGAGAGAGAGATAGAGAGAGTACCTGTATGCGCACACGCGTACACACACACATACACATACACACGTACACACATGAACACGTAAAGGACGAATTTAAACATTGATACGCATAAATGCAGCGTCGGCCACTGGTTGTGCGTCGAAAAGGCGGTGTTGCCCCGCGGCCACTTCCGCGCGTAGAATCCTATTTCGAAATTTAAATAACTCGAGAACTCACTGTGTCGCGTTTCTCTTTCTTTTTCTCGCCGTTTGTATGGGCGAGTTGTCATTGTAAATGCGCATATACTCTTGTGGTGCTAATAGGAAAACGCGCGTGACAGCATATGAGAAGAGGAAACGAGGTCTCGTGTTGTTATTTAAAAATCCGAACAGCGCTCTGGCGTTCTGGCTTGCTCCGCGGGCGTGATACTTAATTGGTTTCATACGGTCTATCCCGAGAATGGGAAAATAAATTAGTATTCCTTTGTACATTTATACAGAATGGCAAACGGGTGCCGCTCGCGTGATGTCGCATCAAATGCGACTCGACCGAAAGTAAGAGAGCCTCTCAGACGCCGGTGATGCTGTGCAGCCAGGGCTTGAAGTAGGTCGTCCTCATGTACACACCCGGTAGATAAGGGGCCGCGCATTTTATGCCATGAGAAACGGTCCCGACCAGGAACCATCTGCCGTCTGGTTGTTGCATGACCAGCGGACCGCCGCTGTCACCCTGAAATAACAAAGATATCATTAACGCTTGTACACACGGTGCTCGCCTCGAACTCGACTTCAATGTTAATTTTAATTTTTAAGGTAAATTAGAATGGGAGAGGGGTGAAAATATCTATTCGCCGTCAGCGAATCTGCGAAGGAACGAGGGACGAAACATTCGGAACGTGTACGTTCGATTCAGGTAGAACAGAAAATGACGATGACGTCGAAATAACGAGAAAATGACTATAAGAACTCATTTTTCGATCATTTCCTCATCATTTCGATATCATCTTGATGTCATTGTTACTTTTTGTTCTATTAGAGAGACGAAAATTTCCGATGAAACAAATCGAGTCGTGTACGATAAAAACGGACGAAATCTACAAAAGAGAAAGAAAATGGAAATATTGTTACGAATTCTTCACTCGTGGACGAAGCAATCATGCTATCTAACGTGAGATCGAAAAGGCAACCGCTAATGGCTCGACCGAGCTCGATATCCTTTTCTGGAATCGAGGATAAAGGCCACCGTGGAATAATAAATCATAAAAATAAATAGAATGCGCGATAAGGTCGTAAGCACGAATAACCGATATGTATATCGCGCGCGTAGCTGCGTGTGATCATGTAATTCGTAGGATCGAAAAGGCGCCCTACAATTAGGATTAATAAGCTAATGGATGCTACGGAGAGCGAAATCGTCGGGCAGGCGAATACCTCGCAGGAATCCTTCTGGCCATTGGCGTATCCGGCGCAAAGGAAGCTATCCAAAATCAGTTTCGAGTGGCTGGCGGTTTGGAACATCTCCTGGCACACCGCGTTCTCCATAATGGGCACCTGGACCTCCTGCAACACCGACGGCACGCCACCATCTGTCGAACGTGAGGATACCGTTAGCGGGACCTTGACCATGGCGAATCTCGCCGGAGGAAAGTCACAATAGACGAGAATTCGGCGCGCGTGCTCGCGTACTCGCGATGAGGTCACGCGAGAGTCACCGTGAAAGTCGTCGTCGCTCCGCTCGCGTCATGCTAACCCGCTCCATTTCGTACTTTCTATCTGGCCCCGCGAGAAATTCTCCCGCACTATCATTACACCCGTGCAACCAGCTCAAGTTGGCCGCGCGGAAAGAGAATTGATATACTCACTGTACTTGAGCCGGCCCCAGCCCGTCACCGTGGCCATTCGGCCGGTGAAGTCGATGCCGTCCTCCGGCATGCAGATCGGCACGATATGCTCGTCGAATTGCACCGGCGACTCCAGCTCGAGGAGCGCCAGGTCATTCTCGAATGTCGCCGGATCGTAGCCGCGGTTCACGATCACGCGGCGCACGTTCTTCGTCACGCTACGCTTCGTCTCCAGCTCGCCCGAGATGTCGTATTCGCCGAACACGGCGACCAAAGATGCCAGGAAGCTGCGAACAGCCGGATGAAGCGATAGCGAAAATTTGTGCCCTCCTGCTTCCGACATGGGCGCGATATCGCGACACGGCAAAATTTCTTTTTACGGCTTACCCTGGTTGGCAATGAGCCGCCGTTATCACGTACTTATCGGTGATTAGCACACCACCGCATTTGTTTTTCGTGAACAGGCCAAGCCATGTAGCCTCGCGCACTAGAACCTGCCACGGCCACTCTCCGAACTGCGCTCCTTTCCCGCCGACTATCTTCCCCGCCCTCGATATTAAGGGTCTCACGCCGCACTCTGCCGACGCGAAAAGTCTCTCCTATATTTCTTACTGCCTATGATATTAATCGCATTTTGCTATCAATTAATAATTGCAATCTATTGTGATTAATTAACGATTGCAATTTTTTGCAGTCACTTGACCCCTTTGCTACTTGTCAATTCCAATTATTTTAGTGTTTGCGCGAATTACTAAAGAGATATTATATACTACAAAAAAGGTGCTACATTCAAGTAAATATTTGCTAAAGAGTATTGGACTAATCGTTTTACTTGGATTGAATGAATGTTACTTGAATGTAGCCTTTTTTCTTTCAGTATGTTACATCCAAGGCTAAGTTTATCTTGCACATTTTCGTGCTGAAAGCGTCGTTTTGTTTTTATTTCTCATGCTGAAAGAAGTTAGAAAGAAGATAGAACGTGTTTTCAGCACGAAAGTGTGCGAGACGAACTTAGCTCAAGTAATATTTATCCAAGTAAAGTAATTGCTCCAATATTCCTTAGCGAAGATTTATTTGAAGTAGTACTTTTTTCTTTCAGTGTAAAAATTAATGGTACGATAAAACAACACTGTATGTAATAACATGTAATACGAAGTTCAGATTCGCACGTCGGTCGCTGGGTTCTCCAAACGTGTCGACTGCTCACTTACGATTCCGGAAATCTGACGTGGCGAGCGTTTCGCCGCTGCTGCTCTCGGTCGCATTCAGATTCTGTTCCTCAGATATGGTCGTCTCCGTGCTACTGGGCGGTACGGTGGTAGTGGGTCTCTTGGTCGGTCTCGGACGCTTCGTCGTCGTTTGAGGCCTCTTGGTCGTGGTGCTCTGCGACGTACTCGGTTTCGGCTTCGAAGTAGTCACTTTGGTGGGGCGCGTTGGCTTCTCGGCTGACGACGGTCTCTGAGTGGTACGGGTGGGCCTTTTCGTCGTCACCGACGGCTTCTTCGTCGTCACCGATGACGGTCTGGTCGTGGCTCTTCGCGTCGGTTTCCTCGTCGTGCTGCTCGCTCCGACCGTCGGTCGTTTCGTTACGGTAGCAGGTGTCGCCGAAGTCGTCGTTGTGCCGTTACGGGCGTAGACTACGTCCTTTAAATTCTGAGGAAACGAAGAGTCATGAAAGAATCCGAATAATCACGCGTTACTTTCCACGATTATATCTCTAGTTTATTTCCAAGAACGAATATTATTAAAGGCGTTATAAATTTTTCGTATTTTCATGTCGCGTCTTTACTGTTCGTTCATGTAGAAGTTCGTGCGAAACGGATAATCGGCGAAAGAAAAAAGCACGACATTATGAGCGCTTAACGATCCACGGGATTTTTCAGATTCATTAAAATTTTCTAGCAACGAGAATTTAGAAAGGAAGTCGAAAGTTCAAAGGTAAAGCCTCGATGCGTTTTGAGTCCGGTGTACGGAATTGATGAGACTTTAATGTGAATCGCGTTCGTTAGGGAAAAGCTCGCCTTATCGCTCAAAGTGCTGAAAGTTAAAACCCGAAGCGATTGGTAACTTTGTCGAACGGTGGCAACGACGATGCATAAAATTCTCGCGGTCGGGTGAATCTTCGTGTTACCTGGAAATTGCCTTGTAGCGACTCGACGATCTTGTTAACGAAGGCGTCTACTTTATTCGTCAGAACATCGTCTTCGATGAACGTGGGCGTCGGAATGTCATTCTCGCTTATCAGCCCGATGTCCGGGTAGCCGGTGTTGTTGTACGTCTCTACGATCGTCGGCTTCTCCTGCTGCGAGATCGGCACGGAAATGTTGAGGTTCGGATTGCGCACCGGCGGGAAGTTGATGAGATCGTCGGGCGCCGCGGTCTCGTCGTCGTCGCAGGGCGTGGAAGTGGTGAACCTCGTGGTGTCGCGATCGACACCATCCGTAGTGCCCTTCAGCACTATCGTGTCGATCGGCGTCAGATTTTCCGACCAGTTGAGGCCAGATGTCGACGGTTTTAGATTGAACGTCGGCTTGTCGGACCACGAGGAGATCGTCGTCCAGATGACGGGTCTCCTAGTGCTCGGTCGGGCCTTCGTGTTCATCACCGGTTGAACCGACTCGGTGTTGAGGTCGACGCTCGGTTTCGCGCTGCTGGTGACGTCTTTGAGATTGACGCTGATGTAACTGGTGGAGACCACGTTGTTGCTGGCGACGTTGGAGATTACGGTACTGATGTTATGTGTGATCGTGGTGGATACGCTGGGTTTCTTGGTGCTGACGACCGTGGGTTTGACAGGGGTGCTCTTGGTCGAAACCGGTTTGGTGCTTCCGCCCGAGGGCTTCCTCGTGACCGGCTTCTGGGTCGTCTCCGTGGTGAATCCCGTGCCGAGCGGGCCGAGAACTATCACCGTCGGTGCCGGAGGGTTCGTCGTAGGTTGTTTAGAGTGGCTGCTGGAGGCGCCGTAGGTCGTTTGCGTGGACGGCCGCGAGGCGTACGGGCTGCTGGAGGTCGGGCGAGACGCGTAGGTAGTCTCGGTGCCGGACGTAGGAACCAGCTCGTAATTGTAGTACGTGGAGGACGGCCTGTGCAGCGAGCCGGGCTTGTGGAAGGTGTAAGGGAAGGTTGAGGGGGACGCGGGAGTGGTAGGTCGGTAGCTCAAAGAGGTAATCTTAGCGTGGGCGGGCTTGGACGTCTCGTCGATGCTCACCCAAGCTTGAATGGGAGAAGAATTAGGCACCTGCAGCGTCACCGACATGTCCGATTTCGGCGTCGTGTTGTCCAAGATTGAGATAATGTGTTTGATGGCGATCTCTTCCTTGTCGAGCACGTCGTCCTTCTTCTTATTACTGGACGGCATGTCGTAGGTGATGGTCGGCACCTTCACTAGCTCGTCGTCTTTCACGCTTGTCACGCTCATCGGCGTAGTGACTTCGAGCATCATCGTGTTCTCCTCGCTTGCTATTCTTGTAGACACCTTCTTCTCGATTGTACTCAGCTTCTCATAGGCGCTGGTCATGGTCAATTGTGTACTGGGCGGATCGCTCGTGAGCCGCTGCGCGTTCGCGTACATCTGGGTCACCACGGGCATCTTCGTCATCATCGGCGTCGTAGACGTTTTTGAACCTTGCATCGATGTAAACGTCGACTTGTTTGTGGGGGGCGCGGGTCGCTCGGTGAATTTGACCCGAGTACTCGACGAGGTGCTGCCGCCAGCTTGAGTGACCTTTTTATCGACCGACGTCTCGGTGGCGGGTCGGAAGATCTCGTCCGGGTTGTACGACTCCTCAAGCATCGTGCCATTTTCGTTCAGCAATATTGTCTCCGGATCGCTATGATTGTGGCCGATCCCCTGAGAGAAGAGAGCCGGTAGTTGGTCCACCGGGTCTGCTATCTGCAGGATCTGATCGGGGCTCAGAAGTGTGGTGACCGGGTTCACCGCAGAGGGGTCTTGGTGGTCCTGAATGTCGTTGTTGGAATCCGAATGTGTCAGTAATCCCGGCAATCGCAGATCGTCGATGATCTCCTGCTGGCCCAGAAGAACCGGGAAGTCCTCGGCCAAGTGGCTGATGTCCGGTTGTACGGGCGTCTGCGTTTTCTCGGGGTTGTTCGCCGCGTTGTGCGACGTCGAGGTGGAGATCTTCGTGTACGCGGTCTCGGCGTCATTTAAGTGATTCGAGACGCTCGGCTTGTCGGTCTTTGTGATTTCGCCGTTCGGCGGCACCGACATGCCGACTGGCGTGCCGTCCGGGTTCAGCAGGATGGGTATGTCGGGTACGTGGTCGATCTGGTGTAGACCGAGGAGCTCTTCGGTGCCGGGCAAGTCGCCGTTTCCGTTCACCGGGCTCCTCGGCGGCAATTGGCAGCACGCACCGAAGAGGAAGCCGTCCATGCAGGCGCCGACGACCTCGCCATTGCGCCGCGTGCACTCGTAATTGAACATGCATATCGCCGGCTCGCTCGACTTGATGCGCGACCGTATCGTAGGCCGGCACGCCTTCGGCACTATCGTGTAGCCGCCGAACAGTTTTCTACCTGCGGAGTAGAGTTAAAGGTTAACCTCCTTGCGACGCGTGACTTGCTCGTTTCTTTCCTCCCTTTTTTTCTCTCCGTTTAACACTCCGCGCTCTCTCCCTCTCTCTCGTATTACGCGCTTGAATTGCATTTGCATTGCCTTTGAATGTATTTTAATTGAATTTGAATATATGAATCTCTATTGAACTACATTGAGGGAACGAAAAAATAAGAAGAGAACTTGAGGGAGCAAAAAAAGCTCGAAACGGGGGCACAAAAATCGAGCTTCTCTCGTAATATCCCGTGAGCTTATCTCGAAATACTCTCGTAATATTCCGGTGAGCTTATCTCGAAATACTCCGCTTGGAGGAGTCAAGAAGCCTAAAAACGTGTTGACCAAAAAGAAATATGCTCGTTTATACATTTTACACGCGCGGCATTCGAAAAGCTCCCTAATTCCGAGAAAAATAACGAGGAAAGATAGAGAAAGAAGAGACAAAGAGAGAGAGAGAAAGAGAGAGAAAAGCTGCAATTTCCGTCTCATAAATAATTATAATTAATTATTATTATTCCGGATACATCGCCGTCGCATGACGCGAGGAGAAGGCCCCCGAAGAGCGCTCCGTTTGGTATTTGGGTTGTGGAAGAGTATCGCTCGCGCTGCTCCAAATTTCAATTCACCCTCGAGGAGAAATCGGATATCGGGCTACGCGCGATCGGAGATTTATAACGACACGTCAATGCGCATCCGTAATCGCAGACGCTTAAATAACCGTTTTCGCGCCCGACTAAAAATACGCGAGCGCCATTTATTCCGCAACGATTCCGTTTCAGCCGATGGACCGGTGTTGCAATCGCGCGCGCAACTGCGAGAGTACGGGCGAGCGGATTCCACAAAGCCGACACTTTACGCGCCACACGGTCGGATTCGTTTTAAAAAAGAGAAGAAACGCGAAAGTTATTCCCTCGACAAATTGTGTTTATAGCTTCTTTCGCTGATACCCCTGATAATTTTAACGATAATACGTTCTCTCCTTTTCCTCTTTTCCTTTTTTTCCGTGCGCAGCCGCGCGCGCCCGCTCGCTCGTTCGGTCGCGCGCGCACGCGAGAAAATATGAATCATCGACGGTATCGCGCTAATGCCGGGATACGGCGAGGAAACATCGGTTAAGAAGATATACACGCGTCCGCGCGTGTGGCTCTGCATACACGCGGCTATCTTTTCCGGTTATGCTTAGCTGACCAAAGCATAGACGAGCAAGCATGTAGGCTCCGCACGTGCCTTCTTCTACACGCTTGCACACTGCCGATATATGATGACCTACTCCGCGATCCGTTGGCGATGCCTGTCTGGATGAGCTCGTGGCGTGCCAGATTTTTGCTATGCGCGGACTCGCGCATTTTACAAATCCGCGAACCCGTGTTTATCGTCGTCCGTATGCCGCGCCCGTCCGCCTAAATAAATAACATCCGGGCGCGAGACGAAAACGCCCGAGACTCGTCGTCGAAATCGCTCAAAAGACGTCCCAATTCCGCGTACGTTCCTTAGACTCCTCTCGACCGCCTTTTGAGCTCTCTTGGCCTTGGGCAAATAGAGAAAAAATGTATGACGCATAAAATAAGTATTGACGCGACTAAGTGAGAGACAATGGAAATAGAAATGCTGCTAAGCGATGAAAGTACCCGGCGGCGCTCGGCGATGAAAAACGTCGTACAAGATCAGAGCGGAGATGGTGGACGATCACAGACGTGATATTGCGTCGAAATTGTAGCCTCGGCAAATTCGATAGAAACAGTTTCCGGCGGAAATTCGAGCGGTTTCCCCGTCACATTGGGGGTTGGAGAAACGTGTTTTCGCGCGCGGAAGTTCGAGTATCTCGCGTCGCCCCGGCAGCAACTTTCTTTTCTAGGCGACGCGGAAAAGAGAGTGCAATTTGCAATTCAGATTAAGCGCGGGATTGTGCGCCGTCGCGAAATATGGGTTGGCTACGTGATTCGCCCGCACCGTGATATTACCGTCCGTCGCACCGGCACGTAAGACGGTACAGGTGAGCGACAATCCGTGCGGGCTATTGAGATCCCGAAAGCGTCGTCGTCGCCCCCGACGGTCGATTAATTTCCGTGACGTAACGAGTCGACGAGCGTCATTTGACGAGCGGCAAATACATCAAATTAGCCGCTTGTCGATTTGATGTATAATGCAGCAGGAGTTAAAACGGGAATCGCCGCATTAAGGATGCACGTTCGCCGAAAGCTCGACCGGTGGGTTTCGCGAATTATTCATGCGAGTTAAATCGAACGCACAATACTGCCCCGCTGAGCTCTGTGAGATCCGATCTGTCTCGTGCGCGCGCGTAGATTTATCTACGTTATGCAAATCGTGTCTCCCGCCGAAAGACCTGACCAAATAACGGAGAATATTAATTTTGATCGACAACTTTTTACGGGCCAACGGAGATGTCTCGGACGGTACATAGATTACGGTATTAAATGAGTGTAAAGAAGTAATACGTTATTTACCGTGCGATATACATATTACGGTACTTTAATATTCTAAACAACGTGTATGCATTACGTAGGTAGGTAGGTATATTTGACTAGCAGTAATAATTAAAAACCCTCGGTCGCGCTGTGTATGCATTCTCCACGGCGCGCATATGTTTGCGCGTGGCAGCGCGGAAGGTGCACTTTAAATTGGATAAGCGACAAGGGTGATATTCAGATTACTTAAAAGTTGGAGTAACGTCTGGAGGAGCTTTATCATTCCGTGTTTGGTCGCCTCGACGGTGTACCGAGACTTAATTCTTCTTTAAAATCCGCGAACGGTAGCCGCCGGCGATAGAGCTTCGCGAAGAAGGAGGGAATCGAGGAATTTACGGTACGAGATTTCACGGACGATCGAGAGAACGGTTTCGTGAGAAATTGTCATTGCGTCATCGAGTCCGTCGCGCGCGACGATTAAGGTCTTGATTTCTCGCCAATCGGATTTCGCACTGTCAATATATATAATTCGCGTAGCCATACGCGCGCGCTTCGGAAGTGCGTCAAACGCACTCTCTCGGAGAAAGTGCCGCGACGGACTTTGATTGAGCCCCGCAGAGATTCGACGTCGCATGTGGATCGAAAGTGTAGCGACGCGTAAAAGCCTCGTTGCGCACGCGCGCGCACGTGATATATGATAAATTATCACGGAGCTGTAAAATGTCACGACGAATGTCGGGCTCGCTCGTACGACACGCGCCATAAATTCTCTTGACACAAATCAACCCGCGAAAGTGGAGAAAGGTGAATTTCCGATATATAGGGCAAAGTCGCCGGCATTCGCTAATGAGTATTCGAATGCGGCTGCACGTTCGGTATGCGTCGCCGCGGTATGGGTCGCAAGTGTAATCTTCGCGAGCATCGAGTCGAGAGAGCCGCGTCTCCTTTCAGACACGCGTTGACTTATTCACGTACGTGACGTGTCGATACGCGACGTCCCCTCGCGACGAGTTATTACGTAGGATGCCCCAGAATCCACAGAATCCTCCTGCGTTTTCGTCAAATTCGGAATTCTCTTTCTCATCGCGGGAGTCACGCGCGAAGCGTCGCATTATCCGCCTATGGCGCTCAACGTTTCAGCATTTTTAAAATACAACTTGATCCTCGTTGCATTAAGGTGATATTTAAATTAATCTCGTTTTAATTCTTCTTCTGTGCTCTCTTGCTTCTTTAAGGTTTAATTTGCTGAAACCTTATCCGCGTAACGTGCCATGTTAAATTATCTGATGGTCGTAGGAATTACTTTCCCTGTCTTTCTTTTCCAATATCCATTCTCGAAAGAAAATGTGAGAGCTCTGTGGTAGCTTGAATACAGGATGTCCCTGCATAAAGAGAACACCTAAATGTCTGCTTTGTTTTTAATGATGTGAGAAACGTCAAGAACATAAGTTGAATTTTTTCCAATTTTTTGAGGTCCCCATATTTAGACCCTCAAGATATTTAGGTGTTCTCCTTATGCCGGGACACCTTATATATCTATAATACTTTTAACGTAACTGTGCGAGCCGTGAGCCGCTATAAAAGTGTCTCTGAAAATTTTCGTGCGATACGTCACTATCGAACGGTCTCGCGCGAATGTCTCCGCCGCTACTTTCCAGGGGAAGTGAAACCTAAGTAGAATTCGGTGTCAATATTTGTCGTGGGAAAATTTTCTAAAAAACGTCGCGCCGCTGAAACGCGAAATGTCGGGCGCGCGAGCGCGACACCGGCTTCCCCGGGCGACCCTTGACCTTCCTCTCGTCTCGCTCGCCGGAAGGGGCTGAGAACGACACCGATGTTCACGCAGCTCGGCAGAAAATCGAATTTCACCTCGTCTACGCCCCGACGCGGCCGGAATACGCGGCATACGGCGAAAAGCTTCCTCCTCGGCTCGCCTCTTTGTTGTCGATTTTCCTCAAAGAAAGACGGAAAGTAGAATTCGGTGTCAGTAATGACTGCCAACTGTCGTACTTTAACGTATCATTTTACGGCGCGAGCCGCGCCGCGGCATGCGTATTAGCGAGAACAATTTGTAAAAGTAGAAATCCAAGTCTGCCTTATTTCCGCCTTTCTCGTGTATTCATTATCTTCTAACGTCGCGAAGGGGACAGGTTTATTGTGCGTCAGATTACATCATACGAATTTCATTTTTACGATTCGGAATTTATATTTCCGGTCTTTGTAATACACTTTAATCTATATCAGCTAAATGTAAGTTTTCAAACGATACACACACGAGGACAATGTTCGCTCAAGCGACGATAAAATATCGTTCAACGCTATTAGCGATAATTGCTAACGTGAATGTAGCATCATGCATGCAATATCAATTATCCTAATTACCTTCATTCTGGGGCGTCCACGAGCGAGAGCAGACGCACGTCAGAGTGAGGAGGACGAACAACAAACAGACACCTTTCCCAGCAGCCATCTGTAACAAAGCAGTTCGGTATATTAATTATTTAAATAACAAGTACTTTTATCTCGAGTGATCCGTACACTGTTAATTTACAACTATTCGACATTTTTATTCGTTATGTCGCATAACGTTTCGACGTTATGCGACAACGAGAAGAGAGAGAACCGAAGAATAATCTCGTACAAAGTTCATTGTGACGTTCCACAAAAAAAAACCTTTAATAAATCACGACACGTGCAGTTAGTTGTCTTTCAGCTTTCTCACGTCACGAAACGATTCGAGAAGAAAATTGGCAACAGTCGCACTTGGTCAGTCACAGGACGGTTGTAACACTTTTTTTCTATAAGCTTTGGAACGCATCCCGCGTCCAATAAGAGAATTTGTTTTTTAGTAATTTTTAAGAGAGACATTTTCCTATTAGACACGAGATGCGTTGCGAAACTCATTAAAAAACAAGTGTTGCAATTGTGACTTACCGCACATTGTACGGAGCGAGAATGCGCCGGGTCTTGAAAAAGAAAACAAAAAGTAAGAGAGAACTCGCGTAGCGCAATCATTTTTCAGCTCTTCTGGGAATTTTCGAAAGGCCAACGTTAAAAGTGTACTGTTTTATAGAAGGATGTTTAAAACTTTCCAGAAGTTTCGCCTTTGTCACAAGGTGGCTTTATCATTTTTAAATTTTAACAAGTTGTCCCCGACGTACGATAAACCACGAAGTGAGACTCGCAGGAGTGAGTTGCGCGATTTTGCCTCTATTATCTAATCCGCGTGCCCAATTTGACAGCCGTCTGCCAGCTTTCCCGCTAGGCACACGTTGCTCGCTGGGGAGCCATTCTTGCTCTTATATTGCTGCTCATTGTTATCGCACGTGTTTAGTATTATATCACATTTATTCTTTCTTTATAATTGATTTATTTTTTTGGAATTTAATGGTTAAAAACTTCCTTTGGGGGAAGTATTACAAGTATTACATTCTCCACTACGATTCTTCATTAATCGAAAATTAGAGGAATCTTCAAACAACTGTCGATGCGTGTAATTCGTAGAAATGACGTATTTTTATGGACTCTAATGCATACAATATTTTTAATTAAGATATTTTTTTATTAACAGAATACTGTATTTGAGTTTAACGAAAACATATTTGTGTATAGAGAACATCCCAAGAACATACTTATGTATAGAGAGTATGTTAAACGTTCGGAGAGATTAGCGTGGCGTTAAATAAAAAAGGAAAAGAAAAATTCTCGTCTCGTCTTAAGGGTAGCTCTGCTTTAAGTCAACGTTAATTTATTTATAAAAGTGGCCCTTGGCTTGACGACGGTCTTAAAGTACTCTTTTAAACTCGACTTTGAGATGTAAAAGGTGACGTAAAATACACATGCACTTGTATTCACGAGAGAAAATAGACGGCAGTTTGTAATTTTCTCTCCGCGAAATTCCTCTCACGATATCACGCGTAATTGGACAATCGAGTTGCACATCGAGTTGCGCGTTCATTCTCTCTCGTTTCTGTAATAATATAAATGAATTTAAGTAGAAAATGTCGAAACTGAAAGATACATTACATGATAGATTACATCGAAACGAGATACCCGCTTTATTATTGCGTGTTATTTTCTTTTCGAGATGCCGGTCGTACAATTTACGAGGATAAACATCCGCCGTTGATCGATACCGCGTAAAATTCGCATCGTTTTCAGTTCGGTTCTCGATATACGGTAATCGTCAGTAGTAACTTTCCAGATCTGGTTACCAGATCGGTGTACATATTTGTCCTTCATAACGGTACAGGAATATCAGCTTTACACGTATGCCAGAAAAACCGGAAGTCGTGAGATAATGAGTTTCCACCGTCGGCTCGCTTAATCGACTTAACATTTTACCTCTCCACTGATCCGGTTATTGATAATTATTAATTTTGTCGCGACGCATGCGTAGAATTATACATTTATTTACCGGTAAAACTTCGTGGCATTACGTCTGCACGTGTCGACGTATTTTTAAAACTTAATTAAAAAATCGAACGATATGATAATGCGATATGCGCATCGCGAATGCTTCATGCAAGATAAATATTAATTGTTATATTAAATCGAAAGATAATATAGTATATAATGTCATATGACACAGAATTGTAAATTAGAGTTTTAATTAAATTCAGTGCAATTATTACGTGAACGTATTTCAAGACAAATAACGCTACTCGCGTCGCGTGATTTTATGAAAATTAATTCTATTGTAAAATGTAATATCGCGTCTAACGCCCGGTTCGTGTAGCTTGCCATTTTAATTTATATAGTCCATTGATCCACGGGCAGACATGTACAATGGTTGATAATTTAATGTCTTTTACGAAGGCTGAATATGTGAAGGGTTAACCGAGGTCCATAATATTTCACAAACATGGATCGATGCCTCTTCTGTGTAACATACGCGTTACACAGAAGAGGCATCGATCCATGTTTACGTTATGTATATTATGCTTGCACACAGAGAAAAAAAATGGTTTAAATGGTAACCGTGAATAGCTCTATAAATAATTTTCACAAAATGCGGAAAAAGTCAACGTGTTTCAGGCGCTATTATAATTTGGAAAGGGTACAATTAGACGCGGCCGTGCCCGATTTGCGAGTCGAGTCTGAGCGTTAGATTAAAAACCAGACGAATGGCGTTGGATACGGGATGCATGGCGGAACGACATCGTTTAGACGTAGACCGCGACGAGGTGACGCCACGCGACGCGATTTTGCCTTCCTCACTTTTGCCGAATCGCACGTTTCCGGATGCCACGTAATTCCACGCGAGGCCTGCAGCACACGGACCCTTGGCACACTCGCCGCGCGTAAAATGAGGAGGAACATTGCCCTGGGCCTATCTCTTCCTCCTCTCGGGAGGAGGTTCACGCTCACACGCGAGCACTCGTGCGCGCGGACGAGACGGACTGCATGCGTGTACCGGAATCCCGTTATAGTCAGTCACAGGCCCGACGTGTGCGATAGTCGCGGCCGGGACGCGGAGGAGGAACGAGGACGAAGTGTGGGTATCGGAGGAACTTGAAGGTGTAACGTCGCCGAGATGTTCGGCGGGGAGTGGAGGCTGATGAATGCGGGAGATGAGCGGAGAATGGACGAGAGAGAGAGAGAGAGAGAGAGAGGAGAAGAATAAGGCGGCGAGCCGCTGGTCGCTTTAATGCAGGTTCACGAAGGCACTCGTAACCCAGTTATATACCAATATCCCCCTGTTCATTCCCGCGGCCTTGTTGGGTAACCTATTAAAGGTCCACCGTACGTGGTCCTCGACGTGCCGTTCATTCAAAAATCGACCCGGCGCGCTGAAGAAGAACCTGAGTCGAAATATTTAATTCTGCATTAAGTCTTCAAGTGGAGAAAACGGTAATAACTTCCCATTTGTAGCGCCAAAGAGAGCACAATAGGAGACCTGATGCCTGATGTGAGACCTTTGAAGGCTCAATACAAAATTAAGCAGATTTAATATAGAACTGAAATTTCGATTAAAAAATTTAATCCTCCGGAATCTAAATTTTCGTTCTATATTAAATCTTTAAGTGGAGAAAACAACAATAACTTTCCCATTAGTAGCACCAAAAGAGCGCAATAGAAGACCGTTGGACACTTAACGTGGAATTAAATTAGACTTAAATCGGTACTAAAATTTCGTCTCGAGAACGCCCGCACCTTTGGACTTCGAAAATCCGAATTTCGAGCGCGCGCGTTCCGCGCGGAATTTCGAACCAGTAGATACCACGTCGATTTTCGGAATCCCGCGATGCTGGAAAATGCTGCGTATATTCCGAAATTCCAGAGGTGATCACGAGCGTGGGTCATGAGAAAGCGAGTCTCGTTGAGAACGTACGGGCGTGCGCGAGCGCGATGTTCAATTCTGAATTTTATCGAGATTGATTGAGATTAATCGCAACAACGGGCTCGCCATGGGATTTAAATAAAACAGCGAGCGTCACTTCGGTTCTGCTGAATAATAGTTTTGACGCAAGCCACACGATGACTCCGATATAAATGGTCCGTTCGTGCCGCTCTGATTTTTAGTGCGATCCGTTAAAGTGAACTGGCGGACGCGCGAGAACCGATGTGACTATTAAGGCTCTCTCGCCTGTTAACCCAAAACTACGGAACATCCGTGCCGGATTAATGCGACGTCGATTAAACGTAGCATGATTATGTTAATTTAATTAAATGCCGCATCGTTATGTTAATTATTTTAAATACAGCGGAATTATATCGGGCCGACTCGTGCGTTGATATTTTACGTTTCAATTATTCCCGCGAGAGCGTGTCGCCGTTCGCCCTTTATTCCAATGCGGTTTCAATATTTCAAAGCGAACTGGTCAACCGTCGAAATGCGTTTCGCAATATCAGCTCGGTTGAACGAAGGGAAAAACCAGACCGCGATACGTGCGACACATTCACGGGGAAAAGGGGAATTTACAAAGCGGATTCACCGAGAGGGACGGAATGACAACAATCGGACTTCTTATTTTCGCGAGTTCCCTCGCGAGTCTCGCGGAGCGCGGAAATGATGCGCGAAATACATTACAATGCGATCGAACGTATTAACATAATTCTCTCGTAAATCAGTCGGTCGGGTGCAACGTTAAATGTGAGGTTAAACACGGCGGTTTACATTGTTCACAATTACCGTGGTTCAGGGACGATCGAGTAACGATAACGTCGCGTTATCGCGTTAGCGTAATAACATAGTCGCGCGAGCGTTTGTACGGATTACGTCGTGGGAACGTTACACACCTGCGTGTTATACGCTGTTAATACCGGCGAACCTCCGCCTTCGCCCTATACATGCAGCCATGTGAGTATGCGGAAGGCACTTTCGTTGAAGGTGTTCCGTTTTCGTCGTGGTGTTTCCTAGTTCTCGTCGATCGCGACAAAGAGACGAGAGACGGCCTCGATAATTATGCAGAAATGACGACTCACGCTCGAGCACTCGAAATAATCGAGCGGCGAAATCTGCATGATTACGATTATACGTTCGCGGAAAATCCGTTTCTTTCGTTGTCGCCTTTTTCATTTCGATGAAAGATAAACGATAAGACCGTCCGCCAGGCACAATGCAAGAGAAAATGTTAAAGAGCAAATTAGTAAGAAAAGCAACTTATTACCCGCGTAGAAATTATACTCGGGTAGAAATTAATAGAAATTAAAAAAAAAATAATAATAATAATGATATAAACCTGGGTAGAAATTAATCGGAATGTGCTCCAAGGTTGTAGTAGCTTTAGACATGCCCTAAAATAGGCCTGTTTTCATTGGGCCTAGATGTGACCTAGAAATACCAATCCTGAATAAAATCCCGTAAATAGGCCCTGAACAAGCGCTGATGCGGATGCCCCTAATAAAGTCCGTGGGTCATAGAACCCAATCAGAGCAGTTAGATACACAGAAAAAATATTCGGGTAAGCTTGTGATTATTGTCTATAAAATATTCTTTAGATCTTCCAATTAGATCTAGAAAAGTGTACCAATCAGAAGCAAAAAATCACCAAGCGCTTACTAAGCTGCTTTTTTCGTTGAACGCGAGCATTGTTCACGCGTTTACCGTGTACCGTGCGAGTATAATAAAACCTCGTTGCACTGAAAATAGTGTGCTGAGCCGAGGCGCGATAAATTTAGAATCCTCTCGGCGTGTCTCGATCGCCATCGCTCCCTCGCGGCGCGTTAATCTTCGCTTCCTACCTTCTCTTTCGGTATTTGTGCTTTAATTTAAGATATTTTTAACAGCATGTGCGCATTTTCCCGCTCGTCTAAAATTATTTCCCCAGGGGTGTTTTCTCACCTACGTCGTCGTCGTCGTTGTCGACGCATTTTCACCCCTGTACTCGATGATGGTGTCGGTGTGATGACGGCGGTCGCAACTAGCGTGGAACAGACGACACGTTAACATTCCCCGCGCGCTTTCCGGGCTATCTGCCGCGGCGATCAATGGTAAACGAGTCCTTCGCGGTGTGTTTTACTGCCGACGAAACGCCGTCGTGTGTGTTGTTGTACCCGCAGCACGCGGGAATTCTCAGCGAGCTGGGCAAAAATGCGCGGCGGGAAAACGTCCCACGTTCGCCGAGAATCCTCGCGAACGGCCGCCGCCACCGCCGGCGCGGATCCTCGCCGATCCTCGTCGGGATCCTCTCCGTCGACCTCTCGTCGAAGTCGACTCCACGTCGAAAATTCTTCCGCGTTCATTGGCCGTCCGTCAATGCCGAGGGACGCGAGAGTACGCGAGGCGAGCGTGACGCGATGCACCTTCACGCATCGCGGAACACACACCTCGACAGGACCGCGGAGAAAGCTCAGTTCGGCGTCTCTCGTTTATTGGATCTGGGTGACCCGATTGGCTCGTGCTCTCGACGGTCCTCACGATCGCCATCAACCTGTCGCGGTGAATCCTCGCGGAGATCCGGACGGATCGACGGGTGATCGATGGCGCAAAAATCCACGCCGGAGAAGCTAATGGTGGTGTTAAACGACGAGAGAAACTAACGGCCGCCGTCGCGGATTCGAATCTTAACGATGTCTTCGTTGATAATCGACGGGGCTTTATCGTATTAATGGTAGGCCTTCTTTTTTTCACCGCTGACGCGTCTCAAAGGCCAGATTTCATCTGGTGAATGAGAGAAAGGATGATTTCGTTTTTTTTTCTCTTCTTCTCTTTGCACGCGTCGCGAAGAAAAGATTCGCGCGGTCAACCTCGTTTCGAGCGCATACGCAGTCGCGAACGATTCAAATTAATCCAACCGGTCGGGGGAGCATCTCTGGCCTCCATTTTCTCCTCGAGCGTGCGAACACGATTATCATCGTCGATTATCGAACGACGATGGTGATTAGCGAAATAATCGAGAAAGTAGGAAATCCGTGTCATTCGAATGGAACACAGAAGCCACGAGGAGACCGCGAAACTAGACCTGAGGCGCGATCCGCAGACGGTCTCTGCTTTCACTCGATCGTTTCAGACATTTCGAGCGCGATCGTTCGTGCAAAACTGATCGGCGGCTCCTACCTCACTGCTCGACACGAGAGGCTTCGGAGTCTGCCGGCCTCCCGTACAAAACATCGAAAGTGACAGTCGGCATTGTGCGTTAACGTTGTTAACGTGCCGATGCTCGCACGAAAGGCCGCGGAACCGTTTTTGCGGCTTATTTACGCGGTTCCGCTACGAGTAAACCTCGTCAATCTGAAAGATCTGGCATTTTAACGGAACTTGGCGCACAATTATAGAAGTCGATTGTATAAGATGGTTTTAGGAGGTAAGATTGCGCTTTCTTTTTAGTTAAACGTATCACAATAAACATCAAGTAACAGTAAGATTACGTCAATGTTATAATTTCCCACTCAACAATATATATGTAAGTGTAATACAACACATGTTGTATGTAACAGTTACGTCCGCTGAGTGGGAAATTACGACATTAATATAATGTTACTGTTACTCGGTATGTTTATTGGAATATAAAAATATTTCTCTGTAACATTCAACAGATATAAGATTTTGAGTCACGTGAGAATTTTTGCATGAAAACCCGAGAGTCGATTAAAATTAGAGAATGCAGGCAAAGTTGAACGAGAAGGATGATAATTTTCAGACACTTTTTATTTCATATTAAAGTTTCGGAAGGACGTTGACGTACAAACGAGAGTCACAAGTTTCGCGTAGTTTGGTAACGGATTATTTTTTCCCGTTTTGCCGGGGATTTGAGCGCTCGCGCGCCAGCCTGAATTAGCCATGAAGACGCCGTGTGTTACGGCTGCGAATTTTCTTCTGCGGGTTAAACGGTAAAAGGCGTCGCGTAGAAGCGTTAAATGCACAAATCAGCCTACATGATTGGAAAGAGCGACAACGAACTGTCGAAGCGTCGACAACCGTTACAGCTCGCCATTGCATACCTGGGTTAGGTACACATCAGACGTGCACATGCGTAAAGTATTCGTGTGTTAGGCACCGCTCGGGGTCAACATGAAAAATTTCATCTCTTGACAGACACGAAGGAATTTCAGTGTCCACGAAAAGTGAAAATATACTTCAGGTTTACCAGGTTTGCGAAATATCTTGGTAGAAATGTATGCAGTTTTCCTAGATATGCATCCAGTTACTGTCCGATTAATGTATTAATGTATTCTCATTAGTTGTAACAATACCGTGTAGGAAATGGACGAGAACTTGGTAGAGTTTTATTCAGGGGTATTTCTCAGGCAAAACTGTCCGTTTTATAAACAGCAAGCTTATTTATTAATTAATTGAATAATTTTTTGCTATGTTTTTATTGTTTGTTATGTTTTTGTTCAATAATTGCAAAAGGTGGAACATAGAAAAAATAGTTTTAAATCAATAATAGATATTCTTCTGTATAAGTAAAAATATTATAATCTTCTTTTTAGTCTTGTTTTGATTGAATTTGAATTGATGCAAGGTATTATTACATGTACTTGATTCAAGACTAAAAATCTTCTAAAAATATAATATTCTTGCTTATATATGAGAACATCTATCTTTGATTTATATAAGACTATTTTTTCTCTCTTTCCACTGAAAATAACTGAGAATATCAAGTATCGCTCAATCTAAAGGAGAAATTGTTGTCTCTCATAAGCTGCGTCGGTCGATTTAATAACAATATTTCCAGGTCAATATTTCTCTATGACGATTGAAAATTTCCCATCAGCCCGACAATTTCTACCGAACAACACCGTATATTGTTGTCCCAAGCATGTTATTCGCCGTGCTCGAAGTTCGCCAGTTTCGCGCGAGACGGTCGCTGCGTGCACGCCGATGCGTGCTCGCGGTACTGACTTCTTGTGACTCAGGTGTGCACTTCACGGTCGTTGCATCGCGCGCATCTCGTCTGCCGGCGAACGAGGGCAAGTCCGCGCGGGCCTGGTCGATACCTGTTACTTGCGTCATCGATTTGTGTGCCGGAGATTTTCCTACAACTTTCGGCGTCTAGCTCGTGAAAGACGCGCGTCCACGTCGCGCACGACGCGGTTAACGACGCGTGGATGAGGAACACCGGGAAAAACAAGACGAAGTCGAGGCAGGAGAGGAGAAGGAAGGGACGGAAGAAAGAGGGAGAAAGAGAGAGAGATTGAAACGCCACGGTGCAACGGAGCATGCCAAATGGTCTTCTACGTGTATCGGAATGCCTCGTTTACCGTCGCCCAATGCCAGGAACTCGGCTTTCTCCTGTTTCCACGGTCAGATTACCGTCCGCGCGATTACGCCGATTTCCGATCACGTCCTAGTTCCGATCCTCCGCGTTCCGTTCGCCGATATTGAATTTCATCGTTGCGCGATTACCCCGCCGTTGCACTTTCTCCCGCGACATTAGGTCGATTACGCGGCGGCGAGCTTGGGCGACGCGAATCATCCCCGGAACGACGAATCAAACGCCATTTTCCCTCCGACGAAATGCGAGAATTCGAATTAAACGAGCTTCGATTGATTGCGCAACGACGCGTAATGTATCACGTACAAATTCTCGAACGAACGGATTAATTAATTATTTCTCATTATTTACAACCCATCGAATCGTTACGCGTATTAATTATGGAGTAAACCGATTCGCCGATAACACGCTGAATTCTCCCGCGATACAGTTCAATTGATCAAAAATATAACAAATTGAATGTAATTATCATTAGAGCCTCTTCCGTCGAGCAGGCGACACCGCTAGCTGTCGTCAGAAATCATATTAAATCCGATATTTGGATTTGCGTACAACTTTCATGGAACGTGCAGTTCCGCCCAAGTATTCGTGTCTGATCCACGGTAAACGCCGAGTCGCGGTAATTAATTTTCCAATGCATTCGAACGCGATTAAGCGTTACAGGGGCCACCGGGAACGCGATGCATCACGAAGACGGAGCGACGCCGCAATAGGATCGCCCGAGTCGACGCTCGCTCCTTTTCCCGCCATCGATCAAACAACCCCTGAAGGGCCGAGAGAGCCACTTACCGTGCGGCGCGTTAACCTTGCTTGCAAGCGAGAGGGCCCGCGCGTTAAGCGCGTCTCATAACGTCGTTTTAATTCCGGCAGACGAGCCCGCTCCGTCGGTCCGCTTCCGAAGAGGAAACGCGACCTTGCCCTCGCTGCTGCTCGATTCGTCTCTTCCGCGTGCTCTCTTCTTCTTCTTCCTTCCGAAGTCACCGTTGCCTCTCTACCGTCCGCTCTATCTCTCGCACTTCCTCACTGAACTTCCTCGCGGCTTGCCGATCGGCCCGATGACGCGGGTCGTGCGCTACGCCAATTGCGGATCGCGAATCTACCTGCGCCGATCGCGCCCGAAATCGAATTTCGAGCCGATCCCCGCGATTCTCGGATTTCCTCTGTGTCGCGCGCGCGCCGAGCACTCGTCGATCGTGTCAGCATCGGCGATCGCCTGAGAGAGAGAGAGTCGAGTGTACTCGCCGCCGAAATCCACGATCGAGGGCACTCTCGTCTCGTCTGTTGACTCTCACGCGTTCGCACCGATCTGTACCGCGCGGCGATCGTCCATCCGGCTAGTAAACGGGATGGTATCTGTCTGGCCTCGTCGTACCTCGCGCCACGGCATGTGCTGGAGTCGCATGGCTAAGTCATAAGCGGCGCCTTCAACGACGAAGATCGGTGGTGGTGGCTGATGCCCGGTCGAGGTGGTGGAGGTCGTTCATGGTGGAGGCAACGCGCGTTCGACGGTAGTCCGATCGAAGAAGAGGAAGAAGAAGAAGGGGGACCGCTTCGCGGAGGACAGGAGCTGTCGAGGAGGTGGTGCAGGTGGCGAAGGAGGAGGAAGAAGAAGAAGAGAGAGAGAAGGGCAGGGAGAGAGGGCATCGCCGCGGAGTGAAAGAGAGAGAGAGAAGGAAAGAGAGGGAACCAGGAGAAACCAAAGTGGGTCAGTGGCCAGGTCACGTGGAGAAGAACGGGGCCCAACGTGCAGGACGGCGACACACTGTCCTACTCATCCAACGGCCGCTCCAGGTTCTGTCTGCCCATTCAGGAAACGCTACGCGATACCGCCGTGGAAACGAGACGAGGCGGTCGGTCTTCTCTTCGGCGGTGCATCCTCTTCCGAGAGACAGCGCGGGCAAGAGCGACGCTTTTGGATGAGAATCGCTTGGACGAAGAATTACGAGGAGAGTCGTGTAGCTGACGGTCAGCTGACGGAATCGTGGGAGAAGTTTGCCTGAACCGTCGGCCACCGGTCGTTGGTTCCATGCCGAGACGCGTGTTACGAGTACCACGTATCGCGTTTCACGTATGATAACGAGAGCGTCGAATTACTCTGAAACGCCTCTGAAATTACTCTGAAGCCGGATGGCTTCTTCGTCTTTGAACGGAGGTGCACTGATAAGCATCGCTAACGGACCACGGAATATCGCTACGGGCCCGGTAATGCGCGTGAAAATCTCTCCTCCACGTATCCGGCCGAGTGCTCGCTCGTGGAAACGGTTAAAGAAATTTCACGGTTGAGCCGTAACGAATACGTTTCCGACGAAGATAAAACTGTCACGTAGCCACAAGACACCAGTTCTCGTCTGACTCGATATTCCTGACTAAAAATTGTCCAAACATTGCTCCTCCCTCGTCCCTTCTTCCCTCGAGCTACCCTCGTCTCGTTTTTATACGCGTTCGCCGCTTGATCAAAATTAAGGTCGGCAGGTTCTGCAATAAGCAGTGATAAAAGGGACTTCGCTTATTATAATTAGAAGGGGAGAGTAATGGTGCACATTGCCTTTGAGAGTGGTCTGAAAGAGATAAATGGGTTTCCCCCTATTACCCAGCGAGAAAAAAGAGGAGTTTCAGAACGCTCCGTCTTCATTCATCGTAACTCTCATAGAAATTAATAAGTTTTCCTTATTAAGGAGATATAGAGCGGAGAAGAGCGAGTCGTAATGTAAGCGCAATTTTTCTGACTGCTTACGATATTACCGGCGGCCGCTTTCAAGTAAGAAACAGTTAAATACAAATTGTTAACTTTTAGGTTATCCAAAATGATGACAAACAGTGATTATATACAAAGAAATATTAAATTCAATTAATTAATTATTCTTTGTTACCGCTATTTATAAAGTGATCGAATTTATACAAAATTATCCAATTGTTTGGGAAATTTAAACATAAATTGGGATAAATGAAAAGTTGAATATCGTTCAAGAAGAAAAGAAATTAAATGTTCCAGATTTCAGGTATTTACGTTGATTTAAGCGATTCTTTATCTTGAATTTAAAATTGGTTATTTTCTGACTTTTGGACTTCTTATTAAGCCATCTGTATCTGATTCACGACCTTTACCATTTTTTTCCTCCGTTATGTGCGGGAGTCTCATCAACGACTAATAATATACGTCCAACTTCCGGCGTTTGCGCGCCTTTGACTTCCCCCTCTCGCGGAGTATTAAGTGTTCCTACTTTCAGATACAAGAGGATAATTACAATAAAGTGGTGTAACGAGTTGTATTACGAGATAGGCGCGTCTATGTCGTCTGTCTGTTATAAAGGTCCGTATACCTCTAATGATATTATCTCATTAGTGCTAATGACACACGCTCGTTAATGGAATGAGGATTATCGGATGAAAATCGTAAACACACACAAACACGATACGAGCGCGCGCGCGATAGGTCTCCTATGCAACTATATCATATCGCAGCAAAGTTATTAATTAACGGATTGATTATCCCGCTTGTTAAAATTCATCTTTTTTTACCATCAACTGGCGTGTTCGCGGAGATAAGGGAAAATTGTAGCTTCGGCCCAAGCGAACGAAAGTAATCTCGTGCTTTATCGGTCGGGCCGCAATACCGGGAAAAGCTCGAAACTCATATAAACTCACTCAAATCTCTCATTACCGTGATAATGCGAGTCGCGTGCGCGCGAGATCGCAATATCGTCCAATCCCGATTAGTTTCAAGCTTACAGCACACGACGTGTAAAATTGGCTATGATGCGGTGACATTACGCTGCTTCCGTAGATTTTTATACAACCTTTGTGTATTTCGTCAGACGGAACATTTTCTAATTAAAGAGCAAACAAGACGGAAGAGCCTCGAACGCATTTCGTAATGAATCTTTTTTTCTGTTTATTTTGAAGCGGATGCCACGTGATGTAAAAAATCTTCACAAACATCACGCTCTCTAACATGATTATGTAACATTACAAATATTACAATCCGTGCTGCATGTACCGATTAATTTATTACGCAGTTTCAATTAAAGTTTTAGAACTGCTCAGCTTTTAATTTCGAGAGCAACGTGTGTAATTAGTGCCGCCGTTCATTAATATATTTCGTCCACGTAAAGGAAACACCACACAAAGGTTACTCTTGTAATCCTATTTGTGTAATCGGAGCGAGACGAAATGTTCGACAAGGTACGTCGCGGCTTTCGCGGATGGCGATTCGCTACCAGGAATTTTAATTGGCACATGGTAGCCGAATTTCACTTCATTTCGGAGTCAGATCGTCTTGAGACCGCGTCCATCGTGATTAATCATGCGGGCCAATGTAAGGCCTCTCGAAACGCTCGACTTCATTCTTTCGTACATTTGTGTTCGAAGAGACAATTTTTATAGATATATACAATAAAATTACGAATGGTAGATTAACTAATACGTTGAGAAAAATATCCGACTATATCTGATCGGATAATCCAATTAAAAAATAACAAACGGATATATTCGACCAAGCGCAGTGTCCGATCATTTCGTCATTTTATCCGACCGAATCGTGCTGGTATCTGATGAAAATTGGATATGCAACGGATATACAAAGGGCTGCTAACTTTCCGATTAGGTTTCATCGGCAACTGCATCGGCAATTTCATCGGATACTTCAACGGATAAAGGTATCCATCACTTGATCGGGTAATAACAATCGGATACGTCATTTAATCGGTTTATCCGCTGGAAATTTTCCTCTGTGTACAGATTACTAGTCAGATAAACAATAATGTAAAAATATTAAAAGGACACGTGCAAAGTGCGTTTAGCTGAATTCACTGACTGAAACATTTTCCCGAATATAAATATTTAAGTGTAAATAATTACTAACATACGAGATATGCGTGTGATTTGTTTTTGTTTCTTTTTAGAAATCAGCGTGATATTACGATCCCGATAAATTTGACACGTTACATGTATGTTATGTTTGAGTGGTTTTTAATAATGTTTAGATAATACTTGTTTCCCGCTGTAACACTAACTATCTCCGTAAATGTTCCTGCATAACTTCGACAGGTACTTTATTCTCAGCTTGCTAATGGGCAGTCGTTATCGATATTACAGCTCTGATAGCGAACGATGATAGTCGTAGCAAACTGCTAATTGAATTTGATTAGGCCTCGACGTAGGAAATGTAATTTATCGGAATCAACCATTCTGCAGCAACGGCAACGCGTCGTCGTCGTTGTCGTCGTCGTTACTGCAGACGTGCATCAATAATTGACGATTCTATCCTGCAATTCGTGCGAAATGGTGAAACCACGAAACCATCTCCGTCCCGTATAATCATAGTGAAATTATGACGAGTCCCGAGGAATCCATGTGTGGCTCTCTTAAACGTAGCCTTGCAACGTAGGAATGCGTAATTGATAACGGTCTCGGCTACTCGTGGCTCTTTCACTTCGGGTACTGTTTTGTATTAATGCTTGACCATGCATTCGAGTAATATATCGTGAACCCGACTTCCTCGCATTGTTGCGCTTTTAAGTGAGAGCCCGTTCGAGGCTAATTTTCTAATCGACGATCGAACGCGGCATCCCGCCTATACGTATTTTTTTACAGACCTGTCGGGCGATTTAACGGAGAATTTTATTAATGTTTTGATGCGTTAGTAGACGCAACATTAAAAAGTGGATGTACGACTATAATTTTGAGATTCCTATGATAATTTCGAGATTTCGTGTTACGTACGACGATCCACCTCGTGTATTTTTACGCGTATCGATTATGTGGCTACCTTACGTATTATTAATGTTTATGAAGTAACATCTCACGTGTAAAAATAGCCCCGAGCCTGACCCGGGTTTACAATAATATAACACAAGCAGAGAGAAGGGTTCCGCAACCTATTAATAATTCGCTGGACGCGAAGTTTTTTGTATCGCGCGCCAAACAAGCTGCGACGGTCGGAGCTGCAGGCGCGCGTTAAGCTTTGAAAATTTCCGCCTCGTCCTTATTTAAATATTACACGTACAGCTATCGATTTTGCAAAATATACGTGCACACGCACATAACGCGAATGACATTTCAAACATGTCGACTCGATTCGCCAACCGTCGCGTTTGCGGTACGAAGTTGCGAACATCGCGAATTGTTCGATATGTTTGATGTGAAATGGAAGAAAAATACAATATATATACGCCGCATAGAAATAAATGGAGCGACGGTTTCGAGGTCGTCGCTTTTTCGGTCAAGGTAATTCCGGGCGTTAGAGGTGGTACGGTCACGCACTGTTCCGAGCTGTATTAGACCACGTTCCGTACGGTACTTTCGGCCCGCCCGGTGACTCTTGCCTGAGAAAATTCTGAGAGAGACGAGAGGAGAAACAAGAGACACGCATCTCATCTCTCTAGAATTTCTCTCTCTCCCTCTCTCTTGGCGCTCGCGGCGATTACGCGGCATCCCGTGGGATAATCATTATATCTCGTCGACTCGCACCCTCGCTCTTTCTCTCGGTGTACATCTCTCATCGGAGAGTACTCGAAGTTCGAACCCTGATCGTGACCGGCTCGGGAAGTGGGTCTGTACCTTTCGGCTCGGTGTCGTCCGCCACCGAATGGCATCTCATTTACTCGCGGCACCTTGTTGTGCGCTCGCTTTCTCTGTTCGGGATACCGTTCAGGAAATTTATCGCGCACGATCGTCGAACAACGACGCTATTAATGCCGCGTATGCGCTTTGTATGCGCTTACACACGTTAATGAGACGTATCCTGGCGGAGCTCGAGAGCGCGGACGCGAGCGCGCGCGCCGTCCTCTCTCGGCGCTTAAATATCACGGCGCGAGAGAATGTGAATGTTAACGTAAAATCGTTCCCTTATTATTTCTCGCAGTTAATCCGGCTATACGGCGACGAGGCGAAACTACGAATTATCGGACGGTTTTCTCCGGCTCGGACGATTCTTTTCTCCGGGGAACATGACGCATGCTGCAAGATCGAGCACACAAGCATCGGCCGTGATCGTGACTTTCGGTAAGTGGGTTAAGGCCCGTGGCGCTGTAAATGTATTTTATTGAGCCGAAAAGAAACGTAGAAAGCAACGACGCTCTACGTTTATTATATCGCTGGAACTCAACAGTTCCGATCGCGTCGCGCCCGTGCATGTCGCGCGCGACGAATGCAACAATAGTGAATGGAACAGACAGCGCGCGAGCCGGGCATTGTATCAACTTCGCCTTCGTGGCAATTTACATGACGATGTGGCGATTCTGTACCGAAGCGTCAATAGACTCGTAGTCGCAATTATGTCGCAAATTAGCACGCGACAGCGTAAACGTGGATTAATGATAAACAGTTAGTCACTGATAAACGCTTTAACGAAGCACAATTGTAATTTGCCATCCCGTCTGTTCGTTGTAGAAGCTTTACGCGTATTTACGCGTATTTTCGTTAATGAAGTATCACGTGTTCAAACGAAAGAAAAAAGAAACCGGCGGAAACATGTTTCCCAGCCGCGAGTAGAGCCGATTTTCAATTTCACCGGCGGTTCCTCTCAAAGGGCCGTATTTCAACTGCGAGATTAAAAGTGCCGGAATAACGCGCAAGTATGAAGTTACGTGAAATACTGTCGCGAGAGGCGTCTTTAATCCTCCGGACTCTTTGCTCACGCTTGCATAATTTCAAGTAATAATTGAGTTTGCGAAAACGAGATCTTCGTGAAGCCGACCGGCGACGCAGGTCCGCCAGAATTTTCGAGAAGCGGTTCTCGTTACCGAGCTGTATCCAAACTCATTTCGAAGTTTACGCGCGTATTTGAATGGCAAGTTTCTCGCCGCCATGGAACGGGGGATATGCGGTAGTCCGCGGGTCTTTTCGCCACCGGGCGAAATATCCGGGGCGGAAGAGCAGGTGCGACATCGGCGCGAAATCCAATTAAACGTAACGTAACGCCCACGAGCGGATCCGACCGCCGTCGGATCGGCGTAAAATCACAAAGTACGAGGAGCCGGCCGGCGTGCGCACAAACGGAGCACCCACGAAGAGACCGCGCGCGCGACGCCATAAATTCCCGGCGATCGTTACAGCACCTAATCCCAGGGAAGGATCCGAAGCATTTGGGTCGCGACGCCATGGCCAGAGAGGGGAAACAATCGATGGTCATGACCCAGGACACAGCTGGTAAACTGGGTCAGGATTGCTCGTGCCCTTTCACGTGGCGCGCGTTCGTTTTTCTTCGTCGTCGCTCGCGCTGAATAAGAGAGACTCCCATAAACGCGCGAAAAAGTTTCTCATGTGCATCACCGTCTTTACGACCTCCTCGTGCCTTCCCTTTCCTGACGTGAGAGAGAAACGAATATTCCGCGCGTCCACCGGAGGTTACCCGACTGTTATTATTCTTCTCTCTCGGCGAGGCAGATTCAAATTTCCCAGCGAATCCTCCGGAATAGTCGGGGCTGACGACGGAGCGTTCTCTCTTTCCGGGTGGAGCCGGATATGACGCACGCTCCAGGAGTCGACTCGCGCCGGGCGTCGTCAAATTGCCTCGACGTCATCGAGAATTACCAAGGTCAGACCGTGACCCTGGCTGCGCTGATCCTGAAGAAAATCCGTTGATCGATCACGGCGCGGCGCGGCGCAGCAGCGACGTAGCGCCGACGCACTTCGCGCTCCCAGACTATCTCGCTGCTTCCATCGCGGCACCGAGCGAGATACACACCACCGGGCTCCCGCAACCTTCACGTGCACTATTTTTGCAACAGCGGCATCGCGCGTCGGTCACCAACTAGCACGGCTGCACGCGCGGCCACGCGATCGTCGTTAGCCGGGAGATCGTAAAAGTATGTCGTTTGTCTCGCGGGATTCTTTATTATTTTCCCGTCGGGCCGATAATCAAGCCGACGAGATGCGAGAGAGAGGAGAGAAAAGCCGACGTGTCCCGGCTTGATACGCCGAACAAAGCGAAACGCAACTTTGCATATTTCATATGTAATATCCGCCAACTCGCGTTTATCCGCGATAGAACCGTGTGGAGTGAATACAGAGGCCGGCGATCAAATGAAATTTGCATATCGTGAAAAACAGATTGCGATCGTAAATAAGGTGAAAAGTAAATCGCGAAATATTTCTCTAGCCCCCGCAGGCACGCGCACGGAGAGACACGGTTTTGCGATATTTTTTTCCTTTATTTACGATCGCGTTTGTGCGTTTGTCGCGATGCAGCAATTTCACCCGATCTTCGGAATCTGAAAAATACACAGGATATTTCCAGACCAACAGGGAAATTTTGTGAGGATGGATCGAGAACGAATTGAGGTGGACAAAAAGTTCTCTATCATTTGGTAAACAATACGCAGGATTTCGGGTTATTAATTATTGAAAATGACGAAAAATTTTGTTAATTAAAGAAGTCTCTATTCGTAGCCATTTTCAGTGATTAATAACTCGAAATTTTACGTGTTGTTTGCAAAATAATAAAAGACTCTTTTGCCCACCTAAACACGTTCTACGCTCTCGCGAAGTTTGTTCCTGTTGGTCTGGGACACTCTGTATTGGACTAATTATTCATGCAGTGCGAAGATGAAAATAAACGACGTCGATAATATCGCTCTCGGCTTGATAAACAATTAATTTTTTCGCGCGATGCAATGCAAAACGCCAGTACCGATGATTACACCGAGTACGGACGTGCGCGCAAATATCCGGGGGAGCTGTTACGAGGAACGGTTACGTTTCCTGGTGAATTTTTTTCCGAAATATGCAGGTCATCTCCCGAGCCCGACACCGGCTGTTGAACCGAGGCGCTTTTTCAATTCCGGCGCTCGGAATTGAGAGCGGTGCGACGTGCAATGATAAGACCCAAGCTTGTGATTAAGCCGGGCATCGAGGAAACGCGTATTTTCAAGAGTAAATAACATGATCGCGCGATTAGCGGAGTTCCTTTTAATTTGCAATTTGCTGCGAGTCCTGGGGGAAACTCGCGCGTTTCACTGTCGCGTTTCAGCATTCCTCTCGGTCGGTCGGTCGCTCTCAGTCGTTCTATTCCGCGCAGCTAATTTACATTTTTACGGCGACGTTCTTCTCCCCAAGTTTCTCTCCGTGTCGCGATGTTAACCGGTGTACCCCATTCTGTGACGCTTCGATTAGCGATAAGCGACGAACGCTAAATTCATTTCCATCGTAGTAACCGTCGAAGCCGACACTAAATGAACGCTCGTAGGTGATTTACGCGTCGCAAATGTCCCAACTTTTACATCCGACTGTATTGTAACGTCAATATTTATAAATTGAGATATTTACATATATTCCATTTATACACACGAAGCTCCAAAATTTCCGAGTGGCCGGTTGAAAACAAATCGCGATCACGCGGTAACGCTTTATTTAAAAAATGCTGCGTTTTCTCCGATGAATTAATTCATATTTATCGCTATCGCTGATACGATAGATATCAACGAGAAACCTTCTGCGTTTCCGCTCGAGCGGAGCGCATCCGAGAATGCAAAAATATACATTTTTAATAGCGTAATTACTCGCGCGTCGCATATTCCGGTCATCGCGAGGCTTTCGCGCCGCTATCAATCGACGACCCGGTGACATGCTCGGATACTACTTTCACACACGTCTCACGATAAGCCGGCGCGCACGTTGCACGCGGACGTGGGACGAGGTCCCGGCGAAGACGAGTCAGCCGACGACTCGAGTCGGCATTTGCAGAGAGCCGCTGTCCCGATTAGGAGAATAAAATTCCGCGACTTACGACCGCGCGGCGTTATTATTCCTAGCGATTTGCATCGACGCGAGTCCATCGGCGACGGGTGAAGGCCGACGATGGTCTGCTCGCCGGCGGACAGGTGAGTACACGGAGCGCACCAGCGCGCGGTTTCGTGACTTCATAAGGAAAAGGCGGAGGTAGCTGGCTTTCACCAAAGCCACTTAACCCGATCCAGTAACATCCATCCATAGGCCGTCACGCCTGTGACATATTCAGTAGTTTTGCATCAGCGTAATCGCCGAAGATGCGAGCGGTCCCACGTGTCTCGTAATTATCTTCCAATTACCGAGCGTCGCGCGAAATTCTAGTTTCGGAGGAGTAGAGAGAGGAGGAGGGGAGGAATACGTCAGGGTCCGACGAACTTTCTTGCCTCGAGTGTACTATGAGCAGACGGACTCGCGATATCGATACGCGCGGAAGAAGCGTTTCCAATTTTATTTATCGCGGAGATATGCTCTCGAGCGACTTCCATTGTGCTGTTGAAGTTCCTCCGACGAAATCGTCGATCGCCTAAGCCCGCGAGAACGTATTCCGCTCGTTTTGCCTCTACATTGACTCTGTAAATATTATCGAATACTCGAAGGACCAACGGGGAATTTCGAGATATGACAATAATTTGACAGGCTATTGTCCTACATTCGGTGCTATAAATGGTTACCCGCTACTGATTTCTCTTTGTTGAGGCTTGTATAAGGAAAGACTTGTTTCAGAATTATTTGATATTTAATGTCATTTGAATATTCTATATCCACATGTAATTTTTTATTTTTTTCGTTTCAATAAGCAATGTACCAATTACGTAATTTACTTAACTGAAAATAGAGAGCATTATTTTTGCTCTATCCGTTTCACTTAAATTTTCAAACAGATACCTATCTATAGTAATTATTGTAATGATTTTCGTAATTTGTTATTTAGCATTATGACGCGTGTCACTTCTGTATTACATTGAATATATCCCCGTTTCTGGATTAATCAACAGTCATGAGAAACGGGTAGCTAGCTGGAAACGGATGCGGCTAAAAATGTTGATAGTGAATATCGACTATCTAATGAATGGTATTCACGCACGTGTCGTTGATTAGTGAGTAAAAATTATTGGCGATTAACTGCTGATAGTTTTGTCCTTCTTACTAATTATTTACGTTCTGTATTCTATTGTGACCGAAACATTATATTTCGAACTAACGACCATACCGACGAACATACCGCGACGTTGAGTACGTGTATCGGCGCATTATTTATCATTTCCGTCGATTCTTAAAACATTTAATCAGGTTTTCGTTAATTAATGCTACAAACAACGTTAAGATTTTAAAAGACATCTTAGAGATGTTTGAAAGACGTCTAAAGAAGTAAAACGTCTATTAGACATCTATAAGACATCTTTTAGAAGCTTGTGCTGTTCGGAACGTGTTCCACCGATGAAATCATATTTACACGAGTGTCAGTGACACGACGGAGTAGCCGGAAATAGGATGCTGGGTCGGAAGCCAAGACATTGGGATGCAAACAGCGATACATCTTCATCGTACATCTCCAGGTGTATAAAATTATTTATTATGCGAGATGTTTTAGGTTTTAATGTATGTTTGGTGAACTTAAAGAGAATAACCAGATAATTGAGTTGAAATTTAGGCCGGTATTCATAATCCATCATTATTTGACAGTTTTGACAGACACGGACTTTATGTATCTTTAATTATACGTCAGTCTGTGCTTATTTTATACAAGAAGTATCGATCCAAACTACAGAATAACGGTCCATAAAGTCTATAATTATGCTTTCGATCTAAGATCGTAAATAATTTATAACTATAAATATCGGCCCCTCTAATAATTTAATGTAAGTCTCGTAAATACTGGATTGATCACAAGTCTGATTTTATCGACATCTGTCAACGCCTTCTTTTTACTTCTGTTTATCATTGTTTTTGTATTAAGTCTAAATTTAAATCTGTGCTGGTACATAACGTTACCGGACACGTAATTGTTATTTTTGCCCCTACAACTCCTTCCTCTTCATTCGTCTCGAATGTTTTTCAAATCTCCAGATTCTATCAAAATTTTTAAAACCAAAGAAAAAAATAAGATTATGGTAAAATCAAGTTTATTACTTCATTTACCTATTTAACAATTAATCTTTATTAGATTGTTTAATATATACTTATCGTATATCGTTCTACTTCGCCATCAAGTAATGATTGATACACATTGATTGTTGATTGAATTTAAGAAAAGTCTAAGTGGAATATCAAGATAATCGAATATTAAATAATTCTGAAACGAGATTTCTTAAGTTGCAACATGGAAACAACTAAAATGACAATAAGTAAACACTTGTAGCATCGAAATAGCCTGTATTTATGTTATCTCTGGAAATTCTCCTCCAGAGATAACTCCAAGTTCGCGCAAATTTGCACGGTTAATATAGAAGCAAAATTTCGACTCGGATAAGAAGTCAGAGAAACTTCGTAACAGCGCATGTATATCGTAAGCACGTAATCTTCATAAACGTAATTATCTTCTTGCTCCAAGCGAACTCTCGTCGAGTTTAATTATTACAGACATTGACCTCATTTCAAACCTTTACCCTTTGACTTATTAATGTCGATACGTCGATCGCATTTCTAGGCTTGCGATATTAAAAACAACGTTGCGAGAGATACATCGAGAATTTTTCGACGTGGAGCGCCAGTTTAGAATGTTGTTAATTACACAACTGATATCACTCGTGCGCGTCAGATGGTCGTACGATTACAAGAGATATTCGTTTGTTTTGCCAATGTACATAATAGTTATGAGCGCGCACGTTAAATCGGAAGTGACGAGTAAATGAAACGGAGGCAGCTTTCCGGAAACTCCACTCTAAGAAAAACGAAAGAAAGAGAGAGAGAAAGAGAGAGAGAAAGAAACAAACAAATAGAAAGTATGCAGGAGAAAATAATAAACGCTAGCTGGATAACACGTAACACTCATCGCGGCGGGTAGTTTCTTATTTAAATATCTCTCTTCCTTTATTAGAACCGACGAGGAGTTTCTATGGATCTTTTATAATGGGCATTCTACAGGTTAAATTTCCTCAGGTCGTTTTTGAAACGTTTGCTTAAGATCGCGCGATAAATCCGTTCGCGTACTTACAACTTACTACTTCGTAAGAAATCGCCACGTTGTAATTTCATAAGCAGTGAATTTCGTCTTCGAATGATGAAAAAGGACTCGTTGATTTCGGTTGCCCAATGTTGCCGAATAAAAAAATAATTTTTATGAATTGATTGATGTTTTTTTACATTCGGATTCCCAAAGAAAATATTTTTGCGCGCTCATTTTTTAATGGGAATATCTTAGATACAGTGTATGAATGTTGCGCGCTTTAATAATTGATACTTTTTGCATTGGACTGCGATTAAATTTTTGCCGTCGATTCACGCGTCGAAAATCGTCGAAAATCGAATTTTCTAATCTTATTTCTTAGATTAAAGGTATATCACGCGCAAACAGAATTAAAAACGGTTGGCAAGTGACGGTGTTTCAATATTTAGAAAATAATTCGATTTTGCGCTAGCACTCGGAGCAATCCTGTTACCAATTCGCGAACGAAAAGACACGTGTGTCCCTTGCGATAGATGTCGAGTTAGTTTAATTCAGGTGGCATATATATTGGCAGGGAAGTTCTCGTCAATTCTGCGCGGGTGAGCGTCGATATTAAACAAATATACAAACGACCTCTCTTTTACTCTTTTACTCTTTATGCTTATTATTATTCTTTATGCTTATTAAATCAAACTTTTCTAAATAGAGAGATGTCCAACGTGGCAAAGTGTCATAAACCGCAATTTTTTATATCTCGCTGAAATGAGAGGGAAACTTACACGAATATTTACAGTTTGAAAAAGTTGCAAAACTTTTAAAACTTACGATATTTAAATACACATTTAGTGCAGTAAATGTCCGAAGAATATTAAGATTCTAAAACGTTAAAAATCTTGCTTTTCTTAAAAGTTCTATCAAATTACGCGGTAGTGACCGAACATATCGACTGTACATACAATCAGTCGCAAGAAGGTTGCAACATATTTTTTTTTCAATGAGTTTCGCAACGCATCTCGTGTCCGAAAATGTATCTCCTGAGAATTATTAAAAAACGAATTTTCCTACTGGACGCAGGATGAGTTCCGAAACATATAAAAAAAGTCTTGTAACCTTCCTGCAATTGACCATATCGCGCGCCATGTTCGCGACTATGTTCAGAGCGAACGCGGGCGCACGAGCGTGTCGAAGATCATAACGGCTAATATAACGATACCTTTATCGCAGAATGGAAACAGAAATCGTTGAGGTTGTATGGAATTTCTGTTCAGTTAAACTCTTCTATCTAATGTACATGATAATTACGAATAAGTCGCGTAAGTGGCGTTGGTATGAACTTTGTTAATCGATTCTTTGTAATCCCAAGATTTACCTAACCTAACGAAGCCGTACGCGAAGATAGACGCCACATGACACGGCATGACACTCGGTAGCAACGTAAGAGCGAAATGATTGATATCAGAACGTGAATCTTCCGGCGTGGCGATAAAACATATCAATAATAAATTATAATAAATCACAAGACTCTGTGTTAAGTTCAAAATTGACAGTATAAAATCATTAGAAGATGAGCACTTCTAGTGTCGTAAGAAATAGTATTATAACAAAACATATTAAATAAGAAATAATATCATAACGAAATGTAGTTTCATAACTAGCAAACAAGCGTATAACAACTTCGACACGCTCGAATGCGTAATAACCTTCCGCGGGATGTTGAAAACGTCGGTCGTCGGTATACTTTCCGCTATTCTCACGTAATAAATCTCGCGAGATCGATCAGTGTCCGTGCGATCAGTGTCAGTGTAATAATTTACGGCGGTATTCGCGTTGTGATCATTATGTTCGTGCGCATCGTGAAACTCGACGGATAAGTAAACTTAAGGTTAGTCCGTCAAATCATTTTCTTAGGAGTCTTTTTAAATTTTAGCTTTATATTGATGTGGTTGAAGTTTGGGATGATTTCCGAGCGAAAATTAAAAAAATTTCTTTTCAAGTTTAACTTCGGTAAAAAACATAGATAAAGTGAAAAACAATAAAATTGTGCAAAGGGTGTCAATGTTAATATAAATAAATAAGAAAAATAGGAAAGATTACGCGCGACATACACGCAAATTAAATTCCTACCGAGAGCTCCGGTGTTTCGCGCAAAGAAATGAGTAATTTTGCACTCCGTGGAACGATAAACGTTAGAAAAAAAATAATTTGGTGTAAACAAATGCCCGGAAGATTTCCTTACAAAATTTATATTTAATACTTAGATATATCTTAATTATGTTTATAAGGATTTTTTCAGTAAATAATAAACTTACGTACAGAGGACTCCTTATTGTCGCTATTGAAAATCTAGTATTCTCTAGACTAATTACATTTAAGAAAAAATATACAATCGTACATGCACGTTCTCAATTTGTCAACAAATGATTGATATCTCTATCTTTCTACCTCTCAATCTCTCTACTCTGTCGCTAATGGAAAATAACTTTTTGTTTCAGATCTGGCAGTTCTTGCGACCAACGAGGGATACTTCTACAGCTTCGGGGGATGCCGAGGACAGCTATGCCAGAGGATCCGGTTCAAGTCGAACGGAGTTGACCCTGACGATCAACGGTTCGGTGAGTGGGAAATGAAAAGAAAGTTTTACAAGGTGGTGGGTCCTTTTTAGAAATCTCATTAATCTTCGAGCCGTCACGTCTTAAGAAGGAGCACAAGTGCAGCAGCACCTGTATCGTTCTATTTTTGTCGAAACAATACCTATTAAATTTCTTCAGATAAATTTCTCGTGTACTATATTTTCACGTCGCTCATGATATCGCAACGTTAATTCACATGAGATCATTTCAAGCGTGAATTTCTTCGTCAAAGTGAAATATTAAGAAATAATGCCCCTTGACACATCGCCCACGCGACTTTCCCTAGATTAAATTCACAACGTGTGCTATCACACGTCAAACATTTGCATCGTTCTTTACTGTGTATATTGCTCAAAACATAATTAGGGAATTGCTTCTTCAAATGTTCATAAAAAAGTAATGACAAGCATATTATGAACAAATAAAATATATTATTCCATTTATTCATTACCACTTATCCATCAAACTTTATTAAATTATTTAATATTTGCTTGTCATATATGAATTTCATCTACGATTAAGTTGCTACTAAAATATTTAAAACAGGAGATAATTGCTCTAAAATAACCGGTTATTAACAGAAATTATGTAATATTTTCATTATGTTTTATATATTAAAATTAAAAATAAGGATTAATTACAAACATGACCACTGATATAAGCAAATAATAAAGCGTGCCAATGAAATCGTGTGAAAAGAGAGAGAAGGAGGGCTCACATTCCGAAAGAATTGCACAGCCGCACAATTGGCCGCGATGCGATTGCTGTGTTTGCCCCATTAAGCACAATCTAAAAACCGCGATTCGTTTCTAGGCCGGGTCGCGTGTTTTGGTCAGGGAATTCCAAGCATGTTTGCTTGTCCCCATAGATTTCGTGTGTGAATGAGATAAAGTGTATTTCACGATGACAAGAATTTTTTAACTTTCTTTTTTATTTCACTCATGTAATTACAATTTATACAGGGACGTAGCGATATTATTAAAGAAAAAGAGAAAAGGATCAAACGTTCAAATGAAATTAAATCGAAGAATTAAAGAAGCGCTAAGTTAGAAAAATAATGTAAGTATCTTCATCGATTATTCCGGGTTATGGTTACGAATTATAATGAAAATAACAATTGTAAAAGGTCAGGAAAATTATAGCTGAAGCTTGTTACACGTGGACTTTTGCGTAAATATATATATAAATAGGTAAATTGGTCATAACTTTATCTCTGACCCATATTACGACAGATTTAACGAAACAACATCGTGTGCGCATGTGTGTTGAGTTCTTTACTCTGAAAATTACAATTGAATCTACGCAATCTCTCCTTTGTTTTCGTTGAGCGAAAACTCGAGAGCGTTTCAATCTCGATTCTTATTAATGCTGTTTACTTGCGTTTACTCGTTGTTTTGCGATTATCGCATGCAACGTGTAATAGTAATTTCGCACGCTTCTAACCGTTTTCCACGATCGCTCTCCGTTATTATAATTTCTCGGCGAAATTTCGTTTTTACGACGATGCCGAGATTTTAAATTCCATTAGCGCACAAAAGTTCAATTTCGAAGCGAATCGAGGAATCAGTCTTTTCCGCTTGTTCAAACTTAAAATTTAATTCGTTCCTCCTCCACTCGTCATTCCACCCCACCGCTCTGTGAAACACGTCTCGGCGGGTTTGAATAACACACACGGCGAAGAGTAACATGGTGGGTTTTCGTTTTCGTCCCCTGAAAGGATTGTTCTCTTTATGCGTGCATTTTTAGGAAAGTGATGCTCTTCCGCATTTTATGACATTTATGAAATCCTCTGGAACGTGTTTCCGAAGGAAGAAAACGAAAAGAAAACGGGCAGGATATTTCCTTGCGTCGAGCGTATTTCCGCTCACGAGGGGTGACGTCCGGAACAGATCTCGCTGCGCGGATCTTTTCCCTCGAATGTCTCCGCTCACGCGCGCTCGCGAGTACCGCGGATCTCGAGGAATTGAGATTCGTTCTACTACATTTAACGTGAAATCGGTCTCACCGCGAGTACGAACAGTGAAACACGAGCAGAACGACCACGCGCGCGCGCGCGCTCGTCGGACGCGACCGGTATCCGCGATAATTAGACGTGGCATGCTACGTGCGGGATGATTCGACGGCAGTAAAGCGCTGATTAGAGGCTCTCATCGGGACGCATCCATCGAATTTTATAATCACTCTAGGCGTTCGCTTCACGGCTCAACGGCTGGTGTCTCTTTCTCTTTTTCCACGTTGCCGCGAAGTTGGTTCCTCCCGAAACCAGGCATGAGTCTTGATCTTAACGACTGGCAACACACCGTTAGCATCGGGAGAAAATGTATAGCTGCGAGAGGACTGACTCGCGGAAGGCGTGCATTTTGCGCTGCGCGATGTTGACTGATACGTGAGAAACGAACAAGCGCGAGTAGATACGGAGAAGAATATTTCGCTGGCGTGACAAATTGTTAATTACCTTAGGAACAGCAAAAAGATTTCTTCGGAGTATTAATCGTTATTTGCTGAATACAGACAGCAATATAATTTGACAATGTCAACGAAATTTGATCGCTGTCACAACAACGGTCTTGCTACAGCAGCAAAATTATTCTTCTCGTGTAACAAATCTCTTTGGTATCCCCGTAGTGACTAACAACATTTGCTGTGCCAACACAATTGCTTTTTTTCGTGTGTTGATTAAGGCCTTATCTTAATCGCACGAAAATGTTCTCTTCCTACACGGAGAATTCTCTCTTCCGCACTTCGTTATGCGCCGCACCTCGCAACGGCCTGTCTCCCGTCTCTCGCCCGGCGCTCCACCCGCGAGTCGAGTGCAAAATGGAAATTTAATTCGTCTGTCTATCCCGATCTGGTTTTGACTTGAGAACTGACTTTTCCCCCGTCCCGATCCGACTCGTGTTTTTATTTTAGAACGTCCATTTGATCTCGATTTAATTGCACTCGGTTTCTATCGGAATTTTCCAGCCGCTCAATAACACGCTGGAGATGTGCCCGCCGGTATTTTTAAGCGCAAGAGACAAAGCGACGCGAGAATTGTCGCAGTGTACACTTTAACGACATAAAATTGTCCAACGCGCCGCACGGCGGCATCCCATCGCGATGCCGCCTCGTTACGAGTTTATCGGGTACGCCCGGTCGCTCATTAAAGCCGCGAACTCAATTTTGCAAAATTTCTCACCGCCATCCCCGTTCGCACCGGGAGGTGGGCGTTGCGCGACGCGTGGGCGATGTTCGAAATCACGAACTCCCTCTCTCTCTCTTTCTCGCTCGCTCGCTCTCGCTCTCTGTCTCCCTTTCTCTAGGATGCGGCACTGCGCAAATATCAAACGCCCACGCGACTGTAGAGGAGAGAGAAATACATGCGGTAAATACGTGCCGCGCGGGGTGAGATGATGAAGGGGGCGCACAAGTACAATCAACAGCTCGGTATGCAATTGCGAGCGCGAGCGATCGCTGCTTTTTAATGTTCGTCGGTTAAGCACAAAGGAGGGAACGATGACAAAAGATGCGAGTGAAAGGAAGAGGGCGGGGGATTGTCGTAGGTAGATGGATAGATAGGTAGGTTGGTGGGTAGGGTGAAAGCGCACACCGCACCACCAATCGATCGATACCGAGTATTTACAAGTGCGTCGGAATCGCGTTATTCCGGTCGCAGTGCTATGAGCTTCCGCGTCGGCGATATTTGTCGACGTTTCTAATTGGCGAGCAATGCGTCGCGTAGCGATGGAACGGCAACGTAAAGCAGGAAATATTATTATGCATTTCGCGCAACCGGGCGGAAAGGGGTACGCAGGATCCCGCTCAATTCTCTCAACCACAGGCGACGTTTTTAACAATTATCGCCTTCTTTCTCTTTCATTGCCGTTTCCACCGTGAAATGCGGAATTAGATAAATAATGTCTGTCGCATTTGTTCGCTTGGAATTGTCGAGGAAATTATGCACGACCCCGGGAAAATCGCGGGATCGCATATTAAATTTATCGGTAATTAATTAATTTTCATGATCGCCGAGTTTTAGAATTTCCGCGTCAGTTGGGTCAGAAGGTTAAACAATTAAGACGTCGTCAAATGTCATCGACACACGGCACAAATTATCTCCCATCTAAAACACGTGCACGGATGAATTACACGTGCACGCGCTGGCATGCGTTGTGTACACACACACACAAACACACACGCACACACACACACATACGCGTATATATTAATAATAATAATTTCCATATATTTATATATAATTCTTTTTATATAAATTAAATTAAATAACACATCTCGGTACATGTATCGCGGTACAGGCGCGTTCATCCCTCCGCTCCGATCGTCCCGGCAAACTCGACCCGTAAAATCTGCTCGGTGCTGCTTCAGATCGTAATTCACGTAACGAGTTGTCGAGCTCGATCGTTCGCACGAACGAACCATCGTGATTAATGGACACACTGTTACCTTCATCAAGACGTCGTCAATTCGTGTCTGCTTGAGACTGGAGTAACTACGATTCAAGTAACTACGAAACGGAATGCTCGTTGAAGAGAGGAGAACAGAACAAGGGTGAGAGGAAAGGGGGAAATTCACGGAAAGCCAGGCGCGCGTTTCCTTTCGATTCTCCGCTGGATCAATCGGATAACCGGATATTCATGGGTTTCGAAGAATGAATTTAGATTTCCATCGGAATTTGCGCGAAATTACTACGGAAATACGGAATAAAATTCGCGAGGGAGAGGGAGAACGAAAGTGAGAGGAAAATTGCGCGGCATGACGTAGCCGGTAGTTGAAATCGCGATAATAGTTGCGGATTGATTATTAAGGATATTATTTTCCGCAAAGGAGATTGATAAAAAAATAATTATATACGTGATTCAAAGCGAGCCTTTGAAAACCGTCGGTCGAAGTACCGTGTAGCCGAACGAAGTCGCGATTGATTTTCCCCTCTTGCGTTCACTTCGAGAAATTCTGCCTGTCGTGTTCAGCACGCCCAGTGCTGGCATTTTAATTACAAAACTTAATAAATAAATAAACGATAAAAATGCGAGATTCCCTTAAGGAGTTGTCATGCGCAAATGTTACGGTTTCACGGTCTTCGGAAAATACGATAAAGAGTTGACACACACGCGGTTACGCCCTTTGTCAGCTCGCCGACAAAACTTCGCCACGTCAATATGGATTTTTATGTCACGCTCGAGTTTAACAGCGCCGAGGTATTTGCTGCGAATGTATGTTTGTCAGCGACGTCGAATAAGTTTACTAAACTGTGTAACGACATTTACACAGACAACCCTTGTGCACGCTTGGTGAACCGAAAACCTATCCTATTATTTTTATTTATACAGATACGGTTTTTTTTAGCAAAAATACGTGTATTCTGAATCACAATAACTACACGATAGCTCGCCTTATAAGCGGCAGATAGAAAAATATACAAAATATCAAGTTGCAATTATCTGTGAAATTCGGTCGCCAATTCCGATTTAGGTCGCGAATTGATTCTCCTTTATATTTTATACATATCGTATTTTAATTTATATCATTTTAATTTACTTGGACTTGGATCTCGAGAACAATCTTCGCGAATTATTGATTTAGAATCGTAATTCAATACAAAGGAGCTAACAATTTCGTTATTTCACACGCATTAGCTATTTCGTGACGACGAATAAAACGATAAATTTGTCTAATATATGGAATCATTAATTAAACCGCGTTTGCGCTCTTACATGCACTCATTAAGTATCAGACTTTGAGCAAAGTGAACACATAAGAAAAAAACGACCAACGCGTGCTCGATAAGAGGAGAGAGCGAGATTAAAAATGCCTCTAGGAAAGGATGTCCGATAATTATATGAATTATAATTCATTCATACGAGGGGGATCTTAAATTACACAATTAGAGAGATTCAACATCGCGATTCCAACTGACGGGAGGAATCTCGATTGAAGCGACGGAAGGTCGGAGATTCCTTCTTGTGTTCATCGCCGATGCGCGCTTTCTTTCCCCATCTTTCGCCACGAGAGTTCAATGTCCGTTCATCATCGATCCCGGGTATTTCTCTCTGGTATCGAAACGAAAACGGTATCGTGTCATCGTCCTTTTACCGAGTCGTCCTACCGGAAAAAGAAGAGAAAAGATAAAAATCGTCGGTCTCGTGCGAGGGGGTGTTGTGAATCGCGCGGTTTCACTCGCGTAAGTCGAATCGGTGGCTCCACACGTCGTCCGAGTTCGCAACGCGCACACACAGGATCTATGGCGGATCCTCGCGCCAGGGTCCCTTAATTTTCCACTAGGTTGCACTCGGTTCACAGCTCCGTTAGATGGTGCCATCCGCCCGCTCAGCGGTCGCTACGAGCGTTCGAAGGAGTCGGCGCGCCGCGAAAGCGCGAATTTCGAGCCATCGTAGCAGTCTCTCTTAAAACTGCAGGATCTGGTTGATCCATTCACGAAACTCCGAGATACGCGTGTAAACGCCGGGCTGATTGGGCGCGGCGCAACCGATACCCCAGCTGATGATCCCGGCGAGGATCCATCGCTTATCCCGCGCTCTTTGGATGACCATCGGGCCGCCGCTGTCACCCTGAGGAGAGAAATAGACGTCGCGCAAAGTGAATTTTTAGACAGGCGTTATAATGCCGTGAAAAACGCTAAAACGATCGAGAGATCTTTCGATCGTTTACTTTGCCTTTGATCTTTATCGCGAGCAAAATGTACATAGTTTTAAGAAACCACTTTTTTTCCATTTTTGCTCAAAAAGAAACCGAAAAAATTCGTGGGAAAATGGAAAAATTCAGATTGTTTTTTTTTTATTCGTGCGCGGAAAAGGTGAGAAAACCCGCGGCAAAATTGAAAACAATTCAGACTTTTCCAAGCCTCTAAAATTATAAAAATGTACTTACTACAACGTACCAATCTTTTGACAATTTTAATATGAAGACAGGAACGATTATTTATTATTAATTCGTGCGAAACTGCGAGCTAAAACCGAATACTGACCTCGCAGGAGTCGAATCCGCCGTTCCTCCAGCCCGCGCAAATGAAAATATGCGGAATATGCTCAATGTAACCCGCGTTTCTATACATTGCCTCGCACACGGTATTGTTAATCACCGGCACCGCGACTTCCTGCAATACGGATGGCAGCGGTCCCTCTGAAAAAACATAATATATAAAAACTCTGTCCTCAAACGTGATTAGTCAACAACAAAGAGAAAATAAGTGTAACAAAAAATTCGATAAAATTTAACAAGATTCAGTAAAATTGAAATTAAAGGATAAGGTGGTATTAAGTAGAATTCTAGCGATTATTTACGGAATCATTTATTTAGTAGCCTGCCGTTAGTGGCATTAACATCCCAATAACCGATATTCTAGAATCGATTGAACATTTGAATGAATGTAATCGTTCAGTTCTCAATTTACAATATTGATTATTGACAAAATTATTGTACGAAATGTAAAAGGGCGCCATAACAGCACCTTTTTCCTTGATATTCTTGATAAGATATTGAATCAAGATAATGAATCAAAGCAGAGCCTGCAATTTTAGCAGTTCACATTAATTAACGCGTATATCGCGCATTTACGCATCGCGGGAATAAATAAATAATGGTCTCGCGGTTTCGTTAATTCGTCCCGCATTTTAATACCGTCGTAAAGTCTGCCCCAGCCAGTAACATAGGCGGTGCGACCGACGTAGGTCTCGTCGTCGTCGGGCAGGCAGATTGGCAACACGTTCGGCTGGAACGGCTGAATGGGGTCGTGGAATCTCAACAGGGCGAGATCGTACTCGAAGGTTCGCGCGTCGAACTGCGGGTGACTCGCTACGATCTGCACCCTCCTCTCCTGATAACCGTACGGCTCGTCCTCGTTCGCCAGATCGTGCTCGCCGATTCTCAACAACAGATCGGCAGGCAACACGCTGCAAATTACACATCGGTCTGTTGATTCCGTTCGGAAACGAAAGGCAGAGAGTTGACGATTTCTCGTAATACATTCCCCCGCGACGCTTTAACTATGAATTTACAGTGTTAGTTATACTTTACTTACAATTTATTTATACAGTTAAGATCAACGGTTTAAGTAGCAGTAAAACTCGTATAACGATGTGGAATAGCAAGATTCGCAGAGGAGATCCTGGAATTTCGCAAGAATAACATTTAGCTCCTCGCGACGGTTCGCCCCGCAGTTATTAACTGCGGGATGTTGCGACGAGTCCATACACGGGAAATCCCAATCTCCTCGTTTTATCGGGTATGCCAACTCGAGGGAATGTTTGTATAAGCGGAGATAATTTTTCCTCATCGCGTCGAGAGATCATAACACGTGTACGCGTTGTTGTCGCAAGACTGTGAGCTTAACGCTTCGTTAGAAAATCTTACGATCGTCGGCTGAGATCATCGCGCGAGAAGACTCGATTATGAATGCCATGGCGACGGCAAACACTATGACGCTTACCTCTCGACGCAATGCGCCGCGGTGATAGCCCAGTTCTGGTTCAACAATGCCGCGCCGCATTTGTGCAGATACGTGGACGTACGCCATTGACGTAATGAGATCTGCAAGGGAGAATTCGCCGTGAGAGAAGAGAGAGAGAGAGAGAGATGGAAGAGAGATGGGAAGTCAATCGTGCGCGAATTGCACGCGATCGTTCTAATCGATGGATCTAATCGCCGTCTTCGTATGTACGTAACAGAGTGGGTACGATCGTTGTTGTTGCCGACGTGGAGCGGAAGACTATTAGCCGTCTCGATTATGTCTAGGACCTGTCATCGCGCGATTTATCTGTCGAACGGCGAGTCCGCGAATCTGTGAATCTCGCGAATGTGGCTCGAATGTCTTATTTCACCTGTACAGACACGGGGAGAATTATTCTATTGGCGCAGCGAATTGAAAGTTACTATAGGAACAACAAAAGATTTGCTGAGAATATTAATTGCTATTTGCTGGATGTACAGACAGCAAAATAATTTGGTTACGCCAACAAAATGTTATCGCTGTTACAACAACGCTTTTTGCTACAACAACAGAGTTGTTTTTTCCCGCCAAGATATTTCCAAAATTGACACCTACGAACAATCTCAATTTTGTCTCATCCGATCGGAAGTGAAACGTAAAATCTTACGTAACGTCGACTCGCAGCGAACCACAGTCTTGGAAATTGCTACGCAGTTATTCTAGAAAATTTGAGAGGGATAATAATACTTAATTTGGGCGTCCGACCGAGAGGTGGTGACATGGCGAAATATTGCCGTTCGAATTAACCGCGTAATCGGAGATTTCGGTAATTACTGTCGATGCTCACCTGCCAAGGCCACTTTCCGAAGGAGCTCCGGCTACCGCCGACGATTCTGGACTCCGGGAAGAGCCTTCGGCCGCACACTGCAAGGATAAACATCGTTGAGTTTATACCCTTGAGTAAATTCGCGGGTCTCAGTTGGACTGCCATGCTGGAGGAACAGCTGGCTGCGTTCGTTCGACTGGATGAAACCGGTACCGTTGCGCGGATGCGTCGCTCGGCTCAATTCTCTCTCGCTTACCCGCCGGCGGAATTAGGATTTTTTTTTCTCTTTTCCCCACACCGATCATATTGTGTTCGTGCTCGCGCCGCTTAAGAGATGTCGCGTGTCGTACAGATTGCAGGAAATTAAAATTCACGACGCGCTGTCGCGTCGTGTTATCCTGTTGAATTAAGTCGCGATCGGTCCTCAACGATGGCTTAAACATCAGCTTAGCCGATGACGTGAAAAGCGATCGTGAGTGGACGCAAATCCGTAAATTACAGCGTCTACCGTATGTCGTTATGACTACTTAACATACATAACATAGTTGCTCGGCGTAAACGCTTCTTACGCACGCGATGTGTTATGGAAGTCCGATATTACAAACTGAATATTCCAATATTAAAATACTTTTTTAAGCAAGAACGAGAGATCGGTAAAGTATATGTGATTATATACATTTTTCCTCCTACTCCTCGCATACTTGGTTTTAATAAATAATATAAATAAATTAATAAATGCACAGGCGCGACGTGCCATCTCACGAATGAACAGATATCTGCCTTATCGAGCGAAAGGTTCGACATTTCCTCAGGAAGACGATGCGAAGGCGCGCGCGCGCGCGCGGTCAGAAGTTGGATCATCCTCGGGGTGTTTAACTGGGGCAAAATCGAACGGAACAACGCGAATTCCTAGAGTGACCCGAATCCAGTTCCGCGTTTCACCGGTCATTTTGTTTTTAGTCCTGACTAGTTCTAGTCGAGTAACGATTCGTTCCGGTCATCCAGTCTAGGAACGATCTAATTTCTTTTATTCATGCACACCGGCTCGATGCATGATGCGCTTGCCAGCAACGTTACAGCGCGATTCGTATTCCAATATTTACGTATTAACCTTGTTTGTAGTCTGACATATTAAGAAAGTCCGCCGGTTCCGGAGCCTCCGTGTCGATCGTAACGCTGGCGATCGTTGACAAGGTGGTCATCGTCATTGGTTTCTTCGTGACGTAATCAGGAATCGTGGTACTCTCCGTTATCGGCTTGGCTGAAAAATCAGTGCAACCAGAAGTTCTCGAGTGAAATTGTATCTCGCAACAAATTAAAAATTACGATACATTCATCGAGGCGTTTTCTAAATGAGAAACGGCGAGAGTATAATCGTGATCCAACAGTAACATGAAAACTAATTAGAAAAAATTATTTGCTTTATGATAGTTTTATTATATACCCGAGCAGCTAATTCTACATTTACATCCATGTAAAACGGAAACGTATTAAAGCGTATTGCTTCGGAGGGAAACTTAGTCGGGAACGGATTGTTGTCGAAATACCAAAATCTAGTGAAAACTTTCTTCGTTCATTTTCTTTATTAAGACTTATTAAAAGGTATTCCTTTCAAGTCGCTGCGCGCGCTCGTTTGTACGATTATACCCTCCGACTCTTGAAAGTTGGTCGGATCTCGCGAGTGAATTCCGCGAGCGCTCACAAAGGTTCACAATTAATATGCCTTACCAGAAGTCAAAGACTGCATAGTGGGTTCCGTAACCGGTTCGGTCGTCGACTCGGGAGTTTGCGGTAACTTTTCGGTAGGCGACTGAATCATTATCCAGACATCCGGAGTCGTTATCGGCGACCAATCGGTCTCTGTATGCTCTGCGAAGCGGACACGCGACATAAATATGGATCGTAATTATGGTACAACGGACCGCGAATCTATTAACTAAGGGACCATTATTTCTTAATTGCACCCATGAAAAAAACAGCGACCGATCGAGATAAAAAGGCGCAGCAGCGAACAACAGCCGAACCTCGTTATTTTCGCCCACGAGCGAGTCGACCCTAAGCCGAGCTGGGAATTCATTCAACGTCCCTGTGGACACCCTGTATGCGCCAAAAAGATCAGAAGGACCCTTCCTTCAGTCCGTGGACCTTCGTTTCTCAGAATGCCTTAGTTTCGGGTCAGATATGCCATGCTAATTCTCGAGACAGCGCGAACCGGTTTGATTCTCCGATTTGGGGTGGTCGATGGAAACGAATTCTCTCTTTTTCTCTCTTTTCCTCTCTCTCTCTTTCTCTCGCTCTTCCTTTTTTCTCCTCTCAGCGCGAGGTATCCGCCGAGAGTGGAACACAGTTATTAGAGAATAATTCAAGTGGCTTACACAGGACGAAGGAGATGATTAGATCGCGTCGGCGGGGAGCCAGCTCTCGCGATGGCCGGTTTGCGGACCGTTACGACGTCCCAACCCGTACATCATCGCCCGGCGATATCTGCGGCGGCACCGCGTGATCCACATAGCGTTACGTTAGCACGATGTATACCCCAGGCCCGAGGAACGGCCTTGGCTCGCATCCACGAGGCTCACCGCGGCCCCAGGATAAAGCCTATAGTTTATCGAACAAACGAACGAACGAACGAACGAACGAACGCGGGATGCGGGACGAATCACCCACTTATCGTCGCGCTGTAGTCCAGTTTCGCCGGCCGGCGCGGCATGCAATCGAGATGCAATTACGCCACTTGAGGACGTGTGACGTTGAATGTTGAACGCACGACCGGTGACATCGCCTCGAGCGAAACCGGTCCAAACGGATTACATCGGCCGAATCATTGACCTCATCAAAAGCTCATGAACTTATAGCCCGGTGGGGACAGTCCATAACATCCTCTCCAGCGGGGTATTAAAAAATCCGGAAAACGAAGACACAAAATCGCCGTTTATTCTTTAATAAAGAGAACTTCCGAGCGCGAAAGATTTATTTTAATTTCATTCAGAAATTAATTTATTATTTAAATAGCTAAATAAATTTATGGGAAAGTATATTTTTCAGTAAATGGTAAACTTATATAGGGGGCCCCTTAATATCGCTGCTGAAAATTCGGCATTCTACGGGCTAGCTACCTTAAAGCGCGTGAATTTAATCGGTTCTTTCTTTCTTCGGTAGTGTCTCGTACGCGACACTCAGGAGATACTTCGCCCGACATTTGATCTTTCACTCGGTGATCAATCTCTTCGACGTACCGATAATTCACCCGAGGACGCGCGGTCGCGTGAGTTTTAAACATGCATACCTTCGTCGGCATCAATCATCACCTTCGAGGAATTATCGGAAACGTGATTAGCAGGCTTATTCGCGTGCCGTGTCTGTATGCTAAAGCGCAGTGAAATCACAGAAAACGGACGTTCATTGTGCAGCCCTTGTCGTCAATAGGAAATCATACTAATAGCGATTCGCGTTGTCGTGCGGCACGTTGCGTGCATGAAAATCGACGTCGAACATAGCGGAATCCCGGCGAGTGATTTGATGGACAGATCGCTCGTGAATTTATATATTGCACTTCGCTTTCGCCACTTTTTCGATCAGTAGTGCAATAACCAGATACGAGGAAACTCGAGATTATCCTTTCTTCGATGTGTCGTCGATTGCATGTGTCTCGCGTCTTGCACTCGCGTATTTTGATACCTGCGCCTAACAGATCCCGATGGCTCTTAAAAATTATCGCCACGTAACCCAATAACGCCCATATATTTAATTATATAAAAATCGCGACCTATTTCGCGATCAACACGACAGCGTGGAAATTCACAATGAATATCACGATTAACGTGTAACGTTATAATTAAATAATTAAATCCAATTAGGACATCACGCGACTGCAATTGATTCCCAGCTCGATATAGAATTACCGATTATCGGAAGTTTGGTAGTTACGTGTTTCCCTTACTCACCTGGCGACGTAGTCGTGGTCGTGCTCGTAGGCATTGTCGTAGTCGTCGGAGATGCCGATGAAGATGTCGACGGTGACGTCTCGGGTGTCTTCACGGACACCTCATCAGAATTCGAACTCCACGTAACCAATCCGGGCGAATAGGTAGTCAGCGGAATCTCCTCGAGAGTATTATTGACATCTTGGCCCTTCGTAGGAGGTGTGTTAGTTGAAGTAGTCTCGTTTCCAACGGTAAACGTGGACAACAAGCTCGAGACGCTCGTGGTGACCTCCACGATGTTGGACGTGGTCGTGGGCACCTTGGAGAAGGGTTTCGTAGGATTCGTCGTGGTGGGTTTAGGCCTCGTAGCGCCGATAACGGTCGACGACAACGGCCTCGTTCTCTCCGTGGTCGTCGTGGTGCTAACATACTCGCTAGGTTTAGTAGTCCTCGTTGTCGTACTAGTGATCTTGATAGGTTTCAACTTCGTCGTGGTCGATGGCAACGGCCTAGACGTGGTGCTTCTGCTGCCGGTTGTCGTCTTCGCCGTCGTCGTCGTCGGTCTGACCGTAGTCGTTCTAATCGTAGACGTCTTCGTAGTCGTCTTCAACCCCGAAGTAGTCCGCGGTGTCGTCGTTCTCGTAGTGGACGGTTTCTGCTCCGGACTCTTGGTCGTAATGATAGTAGTAGTAGCGGTAATTTTCTGACTGCTCGTGCTCGTCGTGGTTGTCGTACTTGCGATCGACGGTCTACTTCCGGTGGAGGCTAAGGTACTCTCCGTGACGCTCGAGCTCCAGACGCTGCTGAGCGATCCGGAAGTCGTGTAAGGTCTGGTTGTCGCTGCTAAAATGGTACCAAGACTGCTGGAACTCGCGGTAGGTTTCGAAGAGCTCGATGGTCTCTTCGTCAACGTCGTGGGCTTCTTCGTGGTCACCACCGGACGTTTGATTACCATCGGTGTGGTGATGTTGATGGCGGCGGTGGTTGGTCTCTTGGTGCTGCTGATGGGCTTCCTGGTGATCGTCTGAGTCAGCGGCTTGGGCGACGTCGAGTTCCTCGGCGGGAACCTGGTCGAAGGTACCGTTTTCTGCGTAGTAGCAGGTTCGGCCTTTACCTCGGTCGATTGAACGGGCTTGCGGGTGGTCGAAGAGCTCGGTACCGTGGTCGTGGAGACGGGTCTCTTCGTGGTCGCTTTCGAAGCTGTTGCCGTGGTGACGGCCAGCTTCGTCGCGTTCTCGGTGCTGGGTCGCAGGCTGGACGAAGTGAACGGTTTCGTGGGTCTCCTCGTTGTGCTAGACGACACGCTGGACGGTCTGTTATTCGCGGTGCTCTTCGACAAAGTAGCCTCCGTACTGGAGGCTCCTTCGGGAGCGCTCTGCACGGTCTGGAATGTCGAGAGCCGAGTAGTCTGTGTGGTCGTCTCGATCGTCGGCTTCCTCGTCACGAACTTCGTCGTGTCCCTCAACGTGCTCGCCGAAGTCTGCGCGCTCGCTTGCGTGCTCGGATTTATAGGCGTCGTCTGGAATTTCGCAAATTTACGCACGTGTGAAAATTAGGATTCATCGATACAGGGAAACGCGCGCAGTTTGACGAGTGGCCGCGTACTTCCCGGTTTAGCCAGGGAAGGTCCCCGATCTATCACGTACTCGGGGATTTTTCGCGACATTTCGCGGTCGAGCGAGAACTAGGATTTAACGCGTCATGAATTTCATGGTCCGCGACGGCGGACTGTTTTGATTATTTTATCGTCGGAAGGAAATACATTTCGGAGATATTCGCATCAATCTTCATCAATTGTTCCGCCGGCCGAATCTGGTTCGAAAAGGCGCGCCTCGCGATCGAATTCGCGCGCACGCAGTGCCGCTGCATGCCACGCACGCCAACTAACTACCATTTTAACGAACCACTTTCTTCCTTCGTCTATGAATCAATTGTGGGGTCACGCGAGCCACCGTGGCGCCTTTTCCCGGTGATCTCATATACGCTCGTAGCACACGATAGAAAGTTATTACAACAATAAATCCGAACGGGGAGGGGAGGGGAGACGTTTCTCGCTCTTCCTGAGGCATCTCGAGCCACTTCACAACCGGCGGTCGTTCACCCTCTCGCCGTCACGCCGCCTAAGAGTTCACCTGCGTGAGCTCTTGAAGCTTGATTTATGATAACGCGATTAAATTAGAATGTAATCCCGCCTCCTCCTACAAGTCGCGAGCGCGAAGGATTCGAAGCGATCTATCGGCCGGACGGACGGACATCGTCATTTATCAGGCTGTCTATTTCATTAACGCAGACCTCGCGGTGACGCCGTCAGCAAGCTGCGGTAATCCGCGCGAAGTGACGTTACTTCGCGCGACTCCATTGATCCGCCGCGAAGAGACTCGAGCCGTTACGCCGCTCGCGTCGCGACGATAAGTTAAGAGACAGCCGGCTTCATTAGCGATCGCGTTTACTTGCCGTGGCTTGCGAGCTGGCCGCGTTCTTCTCGACGGTCGGCTTCGGCCTTGCGAAGTACTCCGGTATGTCGTTGCTCTCGATGGGCCCGTGGGTCGTGATGAACGACGGCCTTGGCGGCGACGGACCGTCGTCGATGCTGTTGTCCTGCGGGAATAAGTCCGGCTCGTCGTCGATCTTGCAGCAACTACCGAAGTAGAAGCGATCGATGCAGGTGCCGAGATGCGTGCCATTAGCCTTCGCGCAGGTAAACGCGAACATGCACACGCCCGTCTCGCCGCTCCTGCGTGACACGCAGGGCAAGTGCCTGATATTCCTGCCTGTGCCTGTAACGTGACGAGAGGAAACAGCCGCCATTACGTCCGTCGTAAACGCGTTTGTAACAAAAATGAAATCCTCGCCGGCTCCGCCTACCCCCGCACTTAAACATTTCTCGACGCGACAGGTCGCGGAAGGGGAAAAGAACTGTCGGTGCTTTCCTCGTTAATAACAGCGGGTTAAGTGGGAGGCTAAAATCCTCTCTTGCACCGAGAGGAAAATGTGCTACACTCAAGCGAATATTTATTTATTCATAACATGAAAGAAAAAGAAGTTCCCTTTTTACGTAAACAAAAGAGAATAGTAGGAATAAAAGTACATAAAGTGACGATAGGTACATAAAAAAAGTACATAAAAATATGTTTATTTCTACGAGCAGAGCGAACTTAATTCGCACACTGAAAAGAAAAAAGTGCTACATTCAAGTAATGCCTGCTTGATCCATGTAAAATAATTACTCAGGAATATGCCTTAGCAGATATTTGTTTGAACATAACACATTTTTCTCTCGGTGTGCGCAAAAGTGGTTAAAAATAATCAACCGGCTGAAGCAACCGAGATCCGAGTTCCGTTTCCTCTTCATTTAATGTGCTCACATATAACTATACATTTCGCTCGGACGTATTGATTTTTAATTCTCGGAGCGCCGTACGCTACGTGCGCTTCTCTCGCGTTAATAACATATTAATGTATTCCATGCACGTGACACTCTCTCTCATTTGATGCTTCATAAAGATGACTCGTCCTCGTGACAATACACGATTGTCCCAGGCGATAAACGGGACGCTCCTGCCGTTCAAAGGTTGCCTCGCGAATGTAACGCGAAAGTAAAAACTCCCTTCGACGGTGGGGGAAAAAAGCCGCGAGATGAAATATTACGGAAAAGAGAAAGAGAGGAAGAAAGGAAGAGAGAGACGCCTCCTCGAGGAGAGGGTTCCCTTCGCGTCAACGCCGGCTAGATAAATGCTTCCGTGTTCTCTGATCCTCCCCGAAGTAGGTATACATCAACGTACACCCGCGGTGTGTCTATAACTGTTCATTCACGATACACGTTCCACATTCCCGTCGTAACACTTCGCTCTCGTATCGTCAACGCTTATAATTCTCTCACTTAATGGTCCCGCGCCGTGCGTTCAACCGAGCGATCTCGCCGCGGATGATGGAAGACGCGGGGCCCGGCATAATTGCGAGACGGAATCAAAAAGGAAATGCAACGCGAGTATGACGGATAGCACTCGGACGCGGCGGACTATGACGATAATATCGCGAATATCAACAGTGGGCACGTAGGCGTGATACGTAAGATATTTTATTGACTTATTAACATCGCATCGGCGGAAGCTGATCGGCACTAGCGATGGGAGAGCCATTTAAAGTCGATTGATATTATTTATAGAATCCATTTATTCTGAGAGGTAGTCTCTACTTCCTGCGGCGGCTTGAAAATCGCGAACACATTAGCGAAGGAGATTCGGCGACGAGCCGACAATGCTCTCAAGTGCAATCGGTGTACTGCCATTGAGAAGCAGTCGAAATCAGCAAAGCATAGGACAAAAGAGTTAACTGGATCTCCGCGAAAAATTAGTGAATACTCACTGACTTTTAATACAATAACGTTCTTCTAATTCGATCAATGACATTTTCAGTGATTCGATTTAAGGGAATTCCCTTCTCCGAGTGAATTAACACAGACGAACAAACAGATGTCACGCGCGAAACTGAAAAAGTCGGGAATATCAGAGGCGTATAACGGAATGACAGAAGTCTGCTTTGACAATGATTCATACGGTCGTGCAATACAGTTAGTCGCGGAAGAGGAGCGCGGGCGAGCGCGCGTCAGAGGAAGATAAAGAAGCGTGTTCTCCGCGCGCACGGAAAATAAGACCACGACCTTTCGGGCGCGAGTAGACGGTGCTGAAATATTAACGAAGACTTGCGACGTCGTTATACATCGCCCTCGATACCTCGTGGTAATCGCTTCCATTACACGATTAGACATTTTTCAAAACGAAACGGACGCGGAAGCACGTCGTGTACGCCGTGTGCTTATGGTGAGAGAGCGAAGACCCCGAAATTCTCGTCGTTTTCGACGTCGACGGCGGTCGGATCGACGAGGTCGTCATAAATTCGCGATCTCTGCAAATAAATTCTAATCGGTGCTCCTTCGTGATCGCGGTTTTATCGACGATCGATTGCGAAACACCGCTAACGCGTTTACGGCGCATGCCGCATTATCGAAGAACGAATTGATGTCAGGCAAGCCGAAGCATCCCGGTACCGTTAAGTTTCAATGTATGAGCTAGTTGCCCGACCCAAAAGTGGGTCACAGTCATAGCCTAATGTAATAGCCTGTTTCCCTCTAAGATACCTCACGATCTCCTCCTTCTCTTTCTCCTTCTCCTCCTCCCTCCTTCCCTCTCTTTCTATATCTTTCTACCTGTCTCTCTCTTTCTCCTCGAGATCTCTGGCCCAACGAAATCACCGCATTCCGGGGTACCTCGGTTAAGCATGATTAAACGGACTTACCCTGACCCATGTTGCTCGGTCGGACCGTGGCGCGTCTTCGACGCGCGCCTGAAAAACCCACGAACGGTATTCCGTGCGAGATACGAATACCGCGCCAAAGAAAGTGACAGATCGCCAATCATTGGTGAACGTTCATTCGTTCATTCGTTCGTTCGCTCGTCGTCGAACAACGCTACATAATATTCCAGTCGTACTTAGTCGGAGCGGAGAAAGTAGAATCGTAACACCGAGATATATGATTTGAAGAAAAAAGTTATCAAAAACTAACATTTATTTCTGAAAAAAAAAGAAACAAAACTATCGAGATTTCTTTCTTCTCGGACATCCTCGGTTCCAGTGATCCTCATTTCTGTCACGGAATTCTGACGCCATCATTGGAGCAAAATTCAAAGCATCCGTTCGAGAAGAACGTGGATATATCTGACCTGAATTTGCAACTTTACATATTAATTACGTTATTCGCGGCGAATCGAGCGAGTCGCGAATTAACGAGGGGCGATAAAATTCGTCGGTAATCGACCGCGCGCGCCGAGCGTGATAAGTCACGGGTTTTCGCGCGCCGCGATCGGGCACGAGGGAGGCTCGCTAAACGCCGTTTTTCCGCAAATGTTTAACTTTCTTTTGCCGACGCACGGCGGACGTTTTGTAGCGGGTGAAAATCAAGCGTAAAATTGTTTTACGGTCCCAGGGCTCGCAGGCTCGCCGCTCTACCAGGTCAGTCGGTCAGACCGCACGCCCAAAAAGTCCTACACGTTCGTCATCCTTCCGTGCAGAAAATGTATGCTAACGGAAGTGACGCGCGCGTGCGTTAGTTAGTCACCGGCGTGAAAGAAAGTTAGTGACGCTTTTCCTGCAGTTGGCGGAATTTCAAGCCGAACCGCGCGCCGAGGGAGCGCGCGCTGCACACCCACGCGACCGAGGATTTCACTCGCATCCGCGGATCACGCTAGGAAAGTGCTTTATCCGATCACGACGAACGTCGCTCGAAAACGGAAGTTTAACGTTATCGCGCGGGGGAAATCAGCCGTCAACCGGGGGTTCGTGTCGTCGCATCACGCACGACGCACACGGACTGAGCGAAACGCATTCGCGAAGAAGGTTCTCCGTGCCGAAGCAACGCACTCCTTTGTTCCCTTTTCAACCTGGACTCTTATATAAAAACAAAACAGCGTTATTAAATGTTTTCCAATGAATTTTCCACCAAATTATTACAAGTTGTGCAATTATTTTATGTTCGCTCGGGCAGAAATTTCGAACGCGACATGTGTTGGCTGGAAATGATAAAAATGTAAAATGAAAGATGTTGAAAGATGTCTTCTCGGCAATATGAATCGAATAAATGCAACGGGAGATGATCGTAGGTTCCGTAGAATCCTGAAGCTCGTTAGAAACGGTCGTGGGTCAAATATCGGTGGCCAGCTCGAGGATGACGGAAAAATCATTATAAGTCACGCGGCCCCCCGATGACCGCGGTTGACCCACTTGTACAGAAAACTGACCAGTCCGCCCACGTTCCGTTCGAACACGAATTCAAGGTAGGTTCAATGTCGCCGCGTGACAGAGGCCGGTAAGCGCTCACGCACACGCGTAGAAAACGACCGTGCTTCGCCGTGGCTCGTAGCTGGTATTCGTGTACCGATCCGTTACTCAGCTGACATACGAGGAAAATGCAACGAGCGTGAAAGAGCCAGCGGGACAAACAGAAGTGTATCGTACGTACACTTCTAGGTATCTGAACGAGATTCATGTCGCACCTGAATCTGAATCGAGATTTCAGATTGCAATTATACATTATGCGATGGCACATTAAAGATAATGAGGAAGAAACAGTGAGAGATGATCTTCATAAGAATAACAGTGAGAGATGATCTTCATAAATTATAATATCAATATATTCTTAGAAAGAGGAAAGTAGTGAAATGTCTTATCGAATTAGGACTGATAGGAGTCTGATAGAAAGATTCAGTTCTCTATAAGACCTATATTAATAGTCGTTCAAGTAACAACTGTTGATACGAATCTGAAAGAGTTGAATTATATTTAATTTCCTTTCCCCCTCTCTTGGGTCAAAGAAGAAAACTGCATCGTTTTGCGCGAAGAGATTGCCCTGGAAAGTACGGTGGTACTATCGAGGATTTGGGTGTTGCCGGAAATACGAGATCGGTGACGCTTCGCGCGTACATCGTCCCCGATCGACGGTGAGCTCCGGAGAGGAGCGCGATTCTCACGAGGGAATGCGGCGAGTTTATTTCAGTCGTTAATTCGGTTATGTCCGTAATTAAGTTGATTTAAAGCTACTTGTAATGAGCAAATTGGAGGTCGATACACGCTGAAGGCATATCGTGCAATTTCCGTAAGACGACGTAACGGCAATTTAATCAGCAAATTGCGATCATTAAGTAACGCGCGTTACAGATGAACCCCCCCCCCCCC